ATTTCTGCAGCACTTTTAAACTTCAGCGCGGAAAGACTGAAGATGAGGAGGAGGATCCCTCAGTGGTGGGAGAGTTCAAGGTAATGAAGCTACATTTTGCGGAAGTGTCACTGTCGCTCAACCCGTCCTTATACCTGACCTATGCAATGTGAACAATGACTGCTTTTGCTCTTGCACAGCTACTTTTCCCAGCCTTTGTCTGCCCTCTGGTGGATAATATATGAATTTCAATTGAACTCAATTGATGACTGTAATTTGGCAGCTGCAAAATAGTACAGGATTTAGACCTTGAGATATTGGTTGAGGGAAGGTCACCTCAGCAAGTTTTTTGTTGAACAGTATATGGACAATGTAATGTGTGTAGCTTGCAAACTGGTATATCTGTGAAGGAATAGTTTGCTACAGTATATTGTACTTCTGGAGTTGAAATCCAGAGCTTTCATCCTCACCTTAATCTTTAATTCAGTTCATTTTACACTGCAATTCACTTGGATTATCTGGATCATTCTTTGTATTGTAACAAGAACAAAAATTTGATTTATGTTTGTCTCTACAAGTCAAGTTTTGAATAATGTGATTTTCCTACTTTGAGTGGGTAATAAAGTTGCATTTTAATGTTTTCATGTAGGCACAATATTAGTAAATGGATATTTAGACTCACTTACGTTAGGGGGGGCATGGCGAAATTAGTGGAATAACATGTTCATCTCTGGAATAAGACGATCTGGTACTTTTGGACAGCTGATCAGCTTCTTTTATTTATTCAGAGTTTCATTTGTTTTTCTACAATCTTATTTTTTATCATGGGATGTGATAATGTGATGGCTTTAAGTCTGGAGCCATTCCTACCTCAAAAAAAGAGGTGTTATATGACTCATGTTATATATATAGTACCACTGTCCTTTTTACTGGCATACAGGGATCATTCAAGATTTACCCGCTGCCTGACGACCCAGGGGTGCCAGTTCCACCTCGCCAGTTCAGAGAGCTTCCTGAGAGCGGACCTCAGGAGTGCCTGGTCAGAATATATGTTGTCCGTTGTATTGACCTGCAGCCTAAGGACACAAATGGCATGGTGAGTTTTATATGAAGCTACAACTGGTCAACCACCCTGGTTTAATGACAAACCCCTCTCCAGATTTAAGTTTCAACTACTGTATGTCCTTGATACTTGAAGCTATTGAAGCTAAGTTAATATTTTTTGCATTGTCATTTCAGTGTGACCCATACGTTAAGATTGCGTTGGGGAGGAAAACATTGGATGACAGAGATAACTACAAACCAAACACCCTTAATCCAGAGTTTGGCAGGTGAGATGACGATTTTTGTTAATTTTTCAATTGTTCAAATGATGATCACCAATTTTTAGGTTGCTTAGGAACATAAATAAAAAAAAGAACACATACATGATATGATGTCTTCCATTTATGTCCAGGGTGTTTGAACTGTCCTGCTTCCTGCCTCAAGACAAGGACCTGAAGATTGCTGTGTATGACTATGATTTACTGAGCAGAGATGAAAAAGTGGGTGAGACAGTCATCGATTTGGAGAACAGACTCCTGTCTCGTTTCAGGTCCTGCTGTGGCCTGCCACAGACTTACTGTGTGTAAGTATCTGCGCTTTGTGTATCTGCTGGATGTGAACACATCTGCAGCATGGTGATACACCCAACAACCTCTTCACATTATCCTTTGATTTGTTTTAGTTTCTTAAAGCCAAACCTGTGTAGCACTGCCTGCATGTTGTGATTAAGGTCAATTGAGATGGACAAGGCTCCGTTGGTACCATGTTCTTGCAGGTCAGGGATCAATCAGTGGAGAGACCAGCTGAAGCCTTCTCAGATCCTCCAGAATGTGGCCAAAGTGAGGGGTGTTCCTCCCCCACACATAGAGGGAGATGGCAGCTCACTGACTTTCTCAGGAAAACTATACAACCTGCAAGATTTTGGTACTGCTTGTTCCTATTTATTATTTGTAGAATTATTGCATCTATAATCTCACTGGTTATGTCTTTTTTTTTTACTAGTTTATCAGGTAGTATTTTAAACAATTAGCAATGAGCATTTTGGCTGTTTTGAATCTTTAATATTAGCAAGCATCAATCTTTTGTGATATACCACACCTTTTGCAGAGGCAAACACTGTGATCCATCCACACATGGGCCCGGCCAGAGAGAGGCTGGCCCTGCATGTCCTCAGAGACCATGGCTTAGTACCAGAGCATGTGGAGACCAGAACCCTGTGTAGCTCCCACCAACCCAACCTGTCCCAGGTTAAAACAATAGCAATAACACTGTGTTAATTTTTCTTCATTAGAATTACAAGTAGTTGAGTACTTACTCTCTGCTCTGTGAAATCTTTCCCACAAATGCAGGGACAGATTCAAATGTGGGTAGACATTTTCCCCAAGAGCCTCGGTTTGCCAGGGCCTCCATGTGATATCACTCCACGCAAAGCCAAGAAGTAAGAAAGTCTTAATATGATAATAAATAATAATATTGGATATAATGCTCCGAGGGATGAAATATAACGGTATATTTGAAACAGGTACTTCTTGCGGGCCATCATTTGGAACACAACCGATGTCATTCTGGATGAAACAAGCATCACTGGAGAAAACATGAGTGACATCTATGTTAAAGGGTACAAAACGTCTCCTACCAGTTTTCTCTACCATTTATTGGTACACACACACAAATCACAAGTAGCTAATCTGAATAAAACATTACCACGTCTCTTAGATGGATGCCAGGAATGGAGGAGGACAAGCAGAAGACTGATGTCCACTACAGATCCTTGGATGGTGATGGAAATTTCAACTGGAGGTTCATCTTTGACTTCGAATATCTGCCTGCAGAGCAGCTGTGTGTCATCTCGAGGAAAGTGAGTGAGATCATGGATCGGGAACAAAGCATCAAGTGGTTGTTCATAACCATATCATTTTCAATGTGATGGTATGATGGCAAGTAATGATATAAATTAAGTGTCTGTCTTTTCATAGGAACACTTTTGGAATCTGGACAAAACTGAATTTAGGATTCCTCCTAAATTGATCATCCAGATTTGGGACAATGACAAATTCTCCCTGGATGACTACTTAGGTAAAGCAGCTTTGTTATTAAGCACATTTTATGCCATGACCAAACAAAGTGAAAGGCTTGAAAGATATGAAGCTACTGTATCTATGCACCAGAAAGACACATACTAATTTTCTATCCATACTTCTGTCACAGGTTCAGTTGAGCTAGACCTACTCAGTCTGATCCCTCCTGCTAAGACCCCCGAGAAGTGCAGCCTGAAGATGTTGCCCGGGATGGCAGGCTCAGCCTCCTCCAAAAAACCACAACCCAACTCACTCTTCTCCCAGAAGTCTGTACGAGGCTGGTGGCCTTGTGTGATCGAGCAGGATGGGAAACATGTGATTGGTGTAAGTTTATATCTGCGGGACAATCCTTAGTTAAGTCTTTTTTTTCCTGGTTTCTGTTTAAGAATGTGTTTCAAAATTTCACAGGGGAAAGTGGAGATGACCTTGGAAATAGTGGAGGAGAAGGAGATGGAAGAGAGACCTGCTGGGAAAGGCCGAGATGAGCCCAACATGAATCCCAAACTGGACCCACCCAAGTAAGAATATAGCTCTCTAAAACAAGACTATGAATTAGTTTACATGGATCTACATTATGTGAACATTGCTGTTTGTTTCTTCTCTTTAGTCGCCCTGACACGTCGTTCTTCTGGTTTACAAACCCTTGCAAGACCATGAAGTTCATAGTTTGGCGCAGATTCAGATGGATTTTCATTGGAGTGATTCTTCTTCTGCTGGTGATCTTGTTCCTCGGGATCCTGTTCTACTCCCTACCTGTAAGATCACTCAATTTGCTGATAGTATATTTATTTGATTGTTGCTGAAACTGCCTAAAATTTGTTTTATCCATCGTAACGGTGGTATTTTGTCTAAAACACTATCAATATTCATTCACTGCCTCACTTAAAGTGATTTATTTTTAAATAGCTATTCTAATTCTGGAATGTCTTCTATCTGCAGAATTACATCTCAATGAAGATTGTGAAGCCTTTCTCCTAAGGAACTTTGCGGAGAAGCTGTCTGCCTTCCTGCAGCAGAATCTTCACTACTCTTCACTGTTTACTGTTCCTCAGAAATATGCACTAACTGTAACTGCTGATGCCATTGCAGGCTGATATTGATCATTTTCCCCTCACATAATCAAAGATGTATGTTTTTATGTATCCTCAGTATTATTGTATCTCTTGTATAGCAAACAATCTCTCTTATGATCAAATTTAGAAAACAACAAAAAAGTGTCAAGAATCTGATATTAATAAAGTTTTACATATAGAAATTGATCATATTTTGTTATATTTTATTTTAAGTAAGAACATTAAAAAAAAAAAATCAGTTTTATCACCAACATTAAATAGTAATATCAGCACTAAAAAATGCTCCTGCTGCCCATTTTAACTGTATGAACATTTAAGGTGCCTTGTCAAAATTGTGATTAGCTAGACCTACTGTATACTTAAAACACAACTGAGTGATAAATAAGCTATTACTATTTAAAAGAAGAAAAAAAGAACATGAACAATAGTGTCTTGTCATGGCTGGATTCCCAACCGGGAAAAGCGAGCAACCACCTATGGGCCCCCACAAAGCCCCAGATTTACTGGATATCATTTGAGTTTTGAGTTGTTGAGTTTACTGTCATAGAAAACAGGGAAAACTAGCAAATATGAACATTTAAGAAGCAAGGGCTTGTGAATGTGAAGTTTTAAATTTATTTCAGACACTTGAATGATACACTGTTGCTTCCTTGCAGCTTTAACTGTTTTACACTATTCAGAAGCTGCTGTTCGAGCCCCTTTAAGGTTTGCGACAGTAAACTGCTTTGTAACCCAGTTGCTGGGATACGAGTTCACGATCCCGCCTCTTATTCCAAGGAAAACGTTTTGATTGGTCACAATTTCCTTGCCGTCAAGGCGAAGCAGCTGCAACAACGAAGTGAAAGTGAACCAATAACTGGACGATAACATTTGGAGTGATATGTGGTCTGGAAGGGAATACTTGCATATAAAAATAAATATATAATTATGTAATGCATCTAACTCAGAAGTGTTACACAAAGAGGGGCATACTTGTAAGTTGTATCTCTTTGTTTTAATGGAAACAGCACTGCTAGCTTGATCAGGTTGAATTACGTTTGTGCTATCTACAATAATGAAAGCTAATAGCTAACGTTTTGATTATTAGCCAATCAAAGCTAAGTTAGCTCAAGATGACTTGGTCTTTGACCTGCAAGACATGTTCGCATCAAGGCTGTAAGCTAAACAAATCCCTCGTATGAATGATTTCGTCACTATTAGCCGAGTTATAATTTCATACCGTGAGGTATTATCAGAAGTAACCTCTAAGGCTGGTTGTTTAGCTAGCTCATTGTAGGTTTGTGAAAACTGAATGCGCTGACTGCCGAACGTGTGTTTGTTTGAGCAATATGAATCTGAAATCGAAGACAAGAGGCTGAAATGAAAGCTGAAACCAGTCTGCCCGAGAGCCCTTGACTGCGGTTCGCCCCGGCGAGATGCCCACTGGCCAGCGTCATGAGCCGAACAAGTGTTCCAAACAAAGTCCGAAAACACAGGTTCAAGTTTCACGGGCCGTCCTTACCAAAACTCTGAGTGTAGGCTCACCGAAGACCAGACATAAACAAAACTTGATATTTGGCTCTATGTGACGTCCAGAGACTCCAGAAAGAGGACAATGTGTAGCTATAGCACAACTTAGTGAGCATGTACAAAATGATCTAAAATGTCGGAGCTTTTCAACGCCTGAATGTTTTTCTTTCTCAAGCAGCTATCGTTGGTTCATCTTGTCTGACCTGTTAAAGATGGATGACACGATGGATTCTCAAAGAAGGTAAGCCAGTGTGTGCTCAAGCTTTTTTTTTTTTTTTTTTTTTACCAAGTAAAAATCATGTATATTAAATAAACTTGTGTACCAGAAAGGGTACAAAGTGCACTCTGGGAAAAGGCCATATAATGATCTCGTAAAGGTAGATTTAAAGCTGTCTCTCACTTTGTTCTCTTTCTGTTCTGCTGCAGTCTGACTGCTGAAGTCAAGCCAGATGGTGTAAAAAATGATGTTCCACAAACAAAATTACCAGATGGAAAAGATGAACTCTTTTGTGGACCACAAAAATATGACACTGCAAAAGACTCTGTACCAACAGAGAACACACAAGATGACATAGCATCTCAGAATTCAATGGACTGTGGGTCTGCAGGTGTACTGGATGAATCTGGCCTTGCTGGCAGCAGAAGTAACACAGCTCAGACACACTGCTCTAATGGACAGAAATCTAAGAGGCCCAGTTCACCTGGTCCCCACCCTGTTAAAACAACCTGTGTTGGTGCACACTCTCAAAATCCCAAACTCACCCTCTGTCTTAGTATTAGTCCCATGAAGGGTGGAAGTATACCCAGTGATGTGGAGATGCTGAGTCCTGACAGTCCCATCTGTAAAACCATGCTCATCAACAACTCTGCAGACAAGGATCATGGTGGCAGTGCTTGTGCAGACGACTCTGGCTTTGCTAAGGCTCAGGTAGTGGAATCTCAGCAGTTTGTCAACGACTCTGACTCTGGAAGTTCGGCCAAAGAAAGAGCCAATCTGGTTGCCATGGGGACTGAGGATGCTGAGGTAGCAGAGTGCAGTGGCTCATCTAATATGAGCCAGGACTTACTTAGAAGCCAGCCAGGTGCAATTTTTGAAAGGTAATTGTGAAGGTTTTCACTTCTCTTTACCACTTTTTGTCTTTTTCGATAAGTGAATCATTCTTCCTGTTGTTTTCTAACTCCACTATGCTCACAGTGTCCTTCAGTGACAGTGTGGTAGACTGACATGTTCTGTCCTTTTTTTCTGCACAGTATTTCATTTGCATTGCATAACACAGACAAAGGATGGCTGGGGACACCCATAGATGAGCTGAACAGAATGCCCCAGTGTGCCCCCCCTCTGTCACACCTGAAAGTAGTGCCTAACCACACTGTCGCAGTCAGGGTGAGTCAACAGGGACTGTTTATTTGTGTGTGTTTGTGGTATGTGTGTGGTGAATACTGCAGTATAAAAAGATTGTAAATTCTGGTTTGACTGGGCATTGTGTGACAGGACCACTCTTGGTGTTTTTTAATAAGAGAAAGTAAGATAGGGAAAAGTGGCAGAGGGAGTGTAAAGAAGTTGTTGTGTAAATAAAGACACTGGGGAATGAAGAAGAGGGATGTAGTGCTGGGCAGGGTGAAGTCATCCTCCATGATCCCCTCAGGGCTTCTTGTCAGTAAAGCTCCAATCAGACTGTGTCCTCCACTACTAGTCCCACAGGAACACTGTCAGTGCTGGTGTGTAGCTACTACTTTCTCTAACCATCAACAGCCACTGACACCCAAGCTAGACTGTGCCCATCACCCCCTGCATCACAAAAATGATGATGAGATTCTTAATTACTATTTTAAGAAAATCATACCTTCTACAAACAGGACAACTTTAATTTGTTTAGTCATCCAGCAAAGGAACATATCACTTGTGGTAAAACAACAGTCAAGGTTGTTAAATTGCAGCAGACATCATTTTAATAAGCAAAGAGAAAATGGTTCAATAGTTCAGTCAACCACTACTGCTAAAGCAAACAAGAGTAATCTGTAAAGACATTTAGTTTCCCCTCCCATTTCTTTTCCCTGTTACAGACAGATCTCCTCAGAGAGGGAGACATCCCTGTCCCATACCCCACCAAGTTCAAAGATGCGTGGGATGATATGTCAGTGAAGATGCCCTGCTCTGAGAAGAACCTGTTTCCTATGGAGACTGAGGTAAACTAGTTGTAGCTGCATCGTGACCTTTCATCAGACTGTGCTGATGTGTTAATTACTGTAGGAACGTTGTAGTAAAAGCAATATATTAAATGTTGTGTCATGTAGGATGGAGGTGGTGTCCAAAGTCGGTGGGACCTAATCCGCACTGCCTTGCGGGGAGGGTTCAAAAGTTCTCTGGATGTGAGGGTGAGACATCTTTGCTCAACATATTCTATGTCCACACTTAGATAAACCTAAGAGGTGTTTTACATGTGAAAATAACTTCCATGCACAGTCTTAAAGTTTTCAGTCCCCAATACCTTGTCAAACTGCTAATTGTCTTCTTCTCCCTCTTCTTTATGTTAGCAAACAATAAAATTGTACATTACTTATAAATTATCGCAACACAGAGCTGAACTTGTCTTTAGCCATTGTAATTAAATTGGAATGTGCCTTTCAACCAGTAGTTGGCTTATTTGGCCAGCATGTCTATGATTCTGGAGAATTACTGCTCATACATTATTCCAATCAAACTCTTAACAGCAGTTTCAATCGAACAAGACTAATTCCACAAACAGCCACATGGTGGCAGAATTTACATCAATTACAGCTGGTTATGTTATGCATTGAAAGAAGACTTTAACTCTCATTCATTTTTGTGCATTAAAAATGCCATTAATTTGCAGCCATACTGTTTTTTATGTATTTGAAATGAGTTTTCTATGAATAACTCCTAATTTTCCTCTTCAGGATGCAATATTGAGATACAACACAACCCATGCTAAGAAATGGGACTTCACTGCCCTGAACCTTCTTTGCACAGAGGTAAGCTGTCCAAAACTTAAACTTGGACTTGTATACAAGATAAAGCAGGAAAATCAAAATGATTTCCCTAAAGCACACTGACCACACTTTGGCATGTGTCTTTGCTGAACATGGAGCATATTAAATTTGAATCCAATTCTTTGGGAGGGAAACCTCGTTTAAAGAAACACAATAATTATATTTTTATTATGATTTCTGAATTTGCTGTATAACCTTAAGAGAACTCACAAATAAACATGCATTGCATAAACATAAACAAATCATAAATAAACGCATCATCAGTGAAATCCAGCCAGTTGTGTGTGTGACAGTCAGCTTTCCCTTGTAGAGGCTGGCAGTGTTTGTTTAACTCAACATAATTAACTATGTCTTTAAAATGTACCTTAAAGAAGAATGAAGTTAGAGTTATAGTGAGGGGAGTCTGCTGTCGTCTGTTTGGCTGCAAGCCCATCAGTGTGCGTCGTCCCCTCCCATTACCTGGGAGTCTCACAGGAGCAAATATGCATCATACAGTTAGGACAGATGAGCACAGAGCATGACGGCAGCAGCTGCTGCAGGTGAACCTGGGGATTGTTTTTCTTTCTGCCTCCTTTTTCCTTTCTTTTAACACTCCTTATCTTCTCCTCAGACAGTAAGGGGCTGTAATATGTGTAATAAATGCAATAAATGTAAAATTAGTAAAACTGTTTAATAAATTAAATCAGTTTTATACATGTAGGATGTCTAAATAGTAATTTCTTCACCAGAAATTCCCTCCTGAAATGTTGTAGCTAAAGTATGAGTAGACACTGACAGTGTATTTCCTTGGAATTTAGTCTCCAGATTCTGACTCTGTTAACACCAAAAAAGTGGCCAAAAAAAAGAAAAAGAAGTTTTTGAATAGATAGCAAATCAAATTCAGCTTGAAGTGTAATTAGGTTATATACATTTAGTAAAGTATATGGTTTATTGTCAAATTCTTTCTTAGTAAGTTGATATCTTGGTTAGAGCCATTAGAAATGAGATCATTATCCTAATAGACTTTTTACTATTAAGTGAGAGCATTTCATACTTATTACAGCCCAGTCAGATTGATATTTGAACCTGATGTCCATCCCTTCTCATCTAAGATTACTCAGCTAAATTCAGTCCATTCCAAAATGATCTTTTTTTTCCCTCCTCTCTGAAATAATTTCTCAGAGTAGCCTAATGCAGAGAGCTCGGCAGATCAATATCCGCCTGAGCCTTTTTATAGCTTTATCCAGTTTAATTAAAAAAGACCCATTAAATCCGTAAGGATGCTAAGCGAGGCCAACAAGAAAGTTGCCCTTCCAGGAATCTATTGCGTCAGCAGCTCCAACTGTCCATTCACCGTCCTGAGCTACATTATTCCCTCCTTATTTCATCATGTCTTTGCTGCTGATGTGTTTAGCAAGAGAGTCTGATGCTCACAGAGTAAGGGCAACTCAAGGTTTGAATGCCTGAAAGTTGTTAATGGAACCTAGCAATTATGTTTTTTATATGTTTATTGTATATAATATGTGCAGTCAGTGGCACATGGGAATAGATGCTTTCATACAGATACGGAATACCTACTGGTTGCCACTATTTTCTGTCATTTTAATGCCTATCTGTTGATGGATGCAGTATGAGGGAGCATTTGCAAACACTCACACCAGCAGCAATGATTAACAGCTGCCATTCCACAGCAGACAAGCATCATCCAATGTAATATATCTTTGACACACAGTCTAATGTAGTGAAGAATCACATGGACAGTTTTCAGCCTTTCACTGCTGCAGTTTGTTTTGTGTTTGAATCCTAACTGTTGCACTCCTTTGCCGAGAACACCTAATTAAATCTGGAGCAACATTTGTGCAGCACTGGGGTAATTGTCAAGAAGTACATTGCCCCTGGGCCAGTGATTGACACTCCGCTCAACGTGTAATAGCCATATGGGAAAAAAAAGGGTTATACAAATTAGGGCTTGTCTGTAAATTGTCTTAGTATTTCTCCCCTGCCAAATGAAACTGTCACTGTGTCATTTCCCGATGAATGTCTGAGGGCTGAGCAGGAAAACAGTCCAGGAGTAAGTACAGCTGATGTTCCAGTTGTACATGAACATTCAGCAGCGAGACAACAATATAGTGTCTCCCTTTCACTTTGGTGCTTTGTCGCTTGTTTTGCCTCTATCTCTCTCTCTTGCATGGTGATTTTAAAAAGTAGTAAAATGTGACAATTTGCTCAGAAGGCCTTTAAATAAAAAAACAACTTCCAAAGAAGATGAGCTTAGGTTGAGCTGCCAGGAAATGAAAATAACTTGTAAAGACCAGAATGAATGGAGGATCAGAGTGTAATCGATCATTAGCCTATGCAGTAGTTAATCTGGACTGTCCTGCTGGAGCTGTCCGTCATATGTATTGATGTGAAAGGTAGAGTTTGTGTGCACAGCCCAACCCGTGTGTTACTGCCGCGGCCGGCTGCTGTGGCTGTGCACAGGCTGGCGGATCATCTTTCTACCCTCATCCTGCTGCATCACCAACCACCATCTATTAGTCCCACAGGAGCGCTTTATGATGTCTGCCAGCTCATTACTTCTGACAGCATTTAGTCAGACCTGCTCTGCAGCCATATAAATGCCCCTGGCCAAATCACCCACCAAAGACTTCCTGTTGAAAATCAAGCGAACCCTGCCACTCTCTCCACAATTGCTCGTTTGCATTTACTCCAGAAGGTCCATTTAATCAACGCGAGCTCCCCCTGCTTACCTTGATAGAATAAGGCAAGTGATTGATGACAGTGACATTCGAAGCCAATACACTCATAAGTGATTGCGTTGTAAATCTGGGTCTATGATGGAATAACTGGGTGTTTATTTTAGAGGGAATTGCAGATGGATGCTGAGGTAAGCTATAGGCTGAAGTATGGATGCCTCGGTCGTCGCGGGCTTGCTCCTAGATTGATGGTAGTTTCCTCTGAAACAGGTTCTGTGTAGTGAGGAGCTCTGCAGCATTTCTGTTTCCTCTTTCACCGCTGAAGTGTTGGGATTATTGATATCTAGGGAGTGGGAGTTCTCCCTATAACAACAATAAACCTCTGTTGCCTTCACTGACACTGACTTTTCTTGTTGGATATGAGAGAGCTGTCCTTAGATATTGGTTACTGGCACTGGGTTATGACCTCAGACTCGCTCCTCATGTGCTTCCTGTCTCGTTGTATTAAAAAGACAATGATAAAACCTGAAAGAAACTATAAAGCAATTTAAGGTGAAGAAGAAATTGTGTTTTGAGCTTTCCCTTTTCTTTTTATTTCCAGTTGAAAAAGGACTGTTAAAATACATGATTGTTCAAAAATGATGGTAGTAGTAACTTTATTATAGTATTTTCATAAATCTATCTACAAAATTAGCTATCACTGAACCCACTGAATTAAAAAAAATGAAATGTGTCAAATGGATTTTGCGATGTAAACGATTAATTAACAAGATAACATTGATAAAAATCATTTTTCATGTTTGTGACTTTAATATTTTTGTGGAATTGACCTTTTACTTCACATTTTGGTTGGAAAAATTAATGGTGTTACAAACCAGTATGTCACTTCAGATCCCATCAGTCACTCTGACTGCCGGCTCTGAGTTACTGCCTGCCTAACTAGGCAGTCAGCTCCACAGAGATATCCCATTTAACAATAGTTCTGCCTGTGTGTCTCTTTTTTTCCCCCTCCTCTTCAGTGTCTTGAGCATTGTGAGGCACAACACCTGTTTGAGGTCATTTTACCTGCCATGGTCGACCTGGCACTCAGTGCTCCTTGTCTCTGCACGATGGTAAGTGCAATTTCCTATTTTTTAATCTGTACACAGTGTGTGTTTAAAGGGGTTTGCCGGAGTTTTGTGAGTAAACTGAAAGGTGCACTGTTGCATTACAGTTGGTAGTGGGTTTAAAAAGTGTTATGGTACATCTGGAGAATGATGGAAGTGTTTGCAGTCAGCGGGGATGGGAGGCAAAGAGTTAGATGGTAGATGTTGTACAGGATCAGCTCATGAGTTACAACTGGTAGATAATGAATGCCTCTTTTTGGTTCACATCAAGAACTACTTCATTAGAAAAGAGGACTGAAAGAGGAGAGGTCTGTCTCATGTCCTGTCATCCAGACGATGTGTTATGCTTGTGCACTTGAGAAAAAAATTCCTCCTACTTTTTGCATTCAGTGCTCCACTAAGCTGGAACTAGTTATGAATTTTAAAATTCAGTCTATTCCTTTGGACTCTCACACCAGCCATTCCTCCTGATATTCTGAGCAGTATAATTTTGGGAACCCGGGTTTTATATCACCCTCATCAAACCTCAGAGGCCCTCCCTTTTTTTCACATTAAATGGAACTGATCCATGTCAGAGCTTTTAAATGTCATCCCCATTTGTCTTCATTTTTGTTCTCACTCATCAACTATAGCAACGCAAGAATTTCAAGATTGGTATTTTTGTAATTCGCTTATCCATTTCAGAGTCTACAGTTTGATTTAATAAAGTTAATTCAGCTCCCTCTCTGGGCAGAACAGCAAATCCCTTTAGTTGTTATTGGAGACAGAAACCGCAGGCGGAAGATAAAGAATTTTCAGTTTTAACTAAAGGAACAGATTTCACCTCAGAATCATTTGTAGAAGTTGGATAATAAAGCTTTCTGACTCTCCGCTTTGTTTCTTGCAGTATTAAGCATCAAGGCTAATGTTTATGTGTGTGTTATTAGAGCTGGTATTGATCTGCTAACTGGGCAGCCTTGGGAGGCTCTTTAGCTCTAATCAGAGAAGATAGATGAGCCTCGTGTGTCTGACTGAACGAACCTGGGGGAGAACAAGAAAACCAGGACCTTAATTACTACCACCCATTTACCTAATGGAACTCTCCTCGTCTCTACTGCGTGCTAGATTGCTAAACTAATTATCTACCCCCATTAGCCCACAGACCTACAGAATCGCACCCACGTAACCTTGTGTGTTTCTTCAGCATCTGTCCTTGTGTCATTTTCCATTCTGATTCCCTGTCCATCAGATTTTGTCTCTTTGCTTTGACTCCACACTTTTGTTCAGTGTTTTGATTGTGATCTCAGTCTCTTTTCTTTCCTGATTTCTCTGTTTTTCTAGCCAATTCCCCTGCTGAAGTGCAGGGCGAACCATTCACTGACTCTGTCTCAGGAGCAAATAGCCTGTCTTCTGGCCAACGCCTTCTTCTGCACATTCCCCCGCCGCAACTCCCGCAAGTCAGAGTACTGCAATTACCCCGAGATCAACTTCTACAGGTAAAAAGCACACAGTCACTTGCAGAAAACTGGAGAGACACAAAATCGTGATCAGTAGCCCAAGAGAGTAATTGAGTGAGCTGTGATTGTTAGTATTTTATTTACAAAATGAGATTTGCCCCTTGAGTCCTTCGCTGAGTCCTTTTGTAAGCCATTACTTTAAGCAGGAATAGATCTCAGCAGACGTAGATATCGATCCTGAGTTACCCTCATTGGTCTATACGCTTCAGGACAGGAGCACGATTGTACTCACTGGCGTCGTTACACCTTTTTCTATCCCTCAATGACTGTGGTACCTGTTGACCAGGTTTTATTGGAATAAAAACAGGATCAGATTTTCTCACAATTTTTTCAGTAGTGTTCTTTCCAGTAACTGGGCATCATACGTATTCAAAGATGTGTATTATTTTCATGATTAAGCACAGTTGTCTATTACAATCTGTTCGAGTGGCTCTGTTTGTAGTGACCCTACCATTTAGAGGAAAGTAAACTGATTTCCATAAGGGGGCACTACTGCCTTGAAAACCCCTAATAGATGATTTCTAGGTTTTTACTCTAGCCTCTACTACTTTAGTGAGCGTCCAGTAAGTCAAGTATGGCATTCAAGTTTTTTTTTTTTAACCTGCATGCAATTGGTTTGGATCTGGCTGTCAAAAAGAGGGACAGCTTGTGGTGTCTCATTTGTCTTTTGTCAAAGATCATATTTATGTGGGTTTTTTTTTTATTTATTTTTTTTATAGTTGTGCTATTAGAGTGTGTGCTGTAACTGCCCCTGTCACCTTATAGGCTTGAGAATTGGACTGTGGGTAGAGAATCTCTTTGCTCTCCATGTTTCTGTTATGTTTTTGTGTGTGGGTGGGACATTCAGAGTAGGAGTGTTAAATTGGTGTTCTCTGGTTCTACCTACTCAGAACCAGTGGTCTGATAAGAAAGCCTCAGAGGGCTAATTGAAACAAATAGTTTTGAGTGTTTTAGAGTGCACACCTGTCTTATCCCTCTCTGGTCTCATAATCTTGAAGTGTCACTATACTTGAAAAGGAGGGAAGTGATGCATGAATGCGCTGTGGCCTATGCCTGCGAAGAGTGATGGCTGTTACACTGTTGAATCTGAAGAACACAACCTCTGCTCTGCTGGTGTAATGTGTTCAGACAGCAGCAGAAGGTGACAGAGTATTTGCACTGAGGTTTTCTGTTATCACGTTTTTTTGGATTATGTCTTTGTTAATAAGCTTGTTTTCTGCTGGAAAAAGACCTTATTGTTGTCATTTGTCTTGTTTTGTTAGTTTTACTCGAGACACTTGATAAGACAACTTTCAGCAGAATGTCGAATCTGGTGGGAATTATTTTGGACACTAACATCTTCCTGTATTTTTGCCATAGCTGATGACGGATAGAAAGTTGAGATGTTGTTTATGGGTGAGGTGAGGTTGGAGTTATGAGATTTTGGTACCAGGTCTATTACTGTACTTCTGGACTGTAGGCACCTGTGTATACACTAGGCATAGTCCTGTACTTCTCATTAGTGATATGTGTAATAACTTCCGGTGTTGTTGCCTGGCATACTGGAGATGTAGGTTTGGTAGTACCTTATTATGATAGTACTCTTTGCACAACATGAAGGCTAGGTTTAGCAGTGTATAATTTTGCTATTCCCTGCAATCTGCATTGGCCCTAACTGCGGTCCTATTCAGAGTCTAATTAGCCATCTGCTCTTCCTTGGGGGTTGAGCAGTATTATTTTATGAATCCCTGTGACAGTCATATTGATTATCTGTGATTTGGTCCATATTCCCTCCTATAACTCCCTCATTTTATCTGAACCATAATCGTACTCTCACAATCAGTCATCAGTGTGCACGATATCTGCCTCCACATCAGACCCCAGTAGCAGGCTAAGGGAAGAGGCCTCTGTAATAATGTAAGCATTGATTCCAGTTGCAGGGCTGGCTGTTTCAGACTCATGCCAGCACTTGGTAGAAGGCACTTGGGCCTGCCTTAACTATCAGCATGTCTGCCTGCAGCAAAATACAGGAAGGAGCAAGAGGAAAAAAAAAAAAGTCGTGGTGTTTCTGAGAGGATGAGACAAGACAAGACAACCAGTGCAGTCTAAAATGGGCCCTGGATCGTTACTGCCCCCCCCCCCTCCCCCTAATTGCAAGAGTGTCCGTCACTTTGCTTATCGGCCACAGTAGCGCTCTGTCTTGGACGAGCAGAGCAGCAAGCAATCTGCTGATTGCTGTTTTGGCAGAACTGTCAAGATTTGTCCTCTGTTAAGTGATAGATAGATTCGAGGGGGAGGAAAGGAGGCAGGAGACTTGTCTCTTTAGCTTGTGTTCTCTCTCTGTTTGAGAAGAAGATGACATAGGAAACCTGCTTAACAATTTAGTCAGCAATAAAAGCTCATTACTAAGAAATAAATCCTCTTTTTTTGTTTGTGCACGGAGTGACCGGGCGATGGCCTTTCTCATTTAGAAGAAAATAGCCTAACTGGTAATAGTGAAACTGTCAGAAACCATGTCTCCTGGTGCACTTTATATAGTAGGCAAGGTTACATGTGACTATCCTTGAAAATGAAAACTGCTACAATATATTTTGTAACTAAATCCTTCTTAATTAGTTGCTCCTCTGTCTTCAGCATGTATGATTTGTGGCTAGACTGGAAATCTCACCCTCATCCTCCAGATTAATGCTGAACTGTGATTAGTCATCAGCTTAGGTTGCTTTTAATGGAGGGAGAGTACCAGTATGGGGCGATTTAAGCTGTCCATCTAAGGCTCTCTCTCTCGTTCTCTCTCTCTCTCTCTCTCTCCTCCCTCCCTCCACCCTAGTTTTTATGGTAACTCTGAAGAACTGAAACAGGGCCTCAGGCAATGCCATTGTATGAAGGATGGAGGTAGATGGGAGAGACATCGTCCCAGTTTGAAAGCTGAACCTCCCTCATGACATGCCGTAGCATGGTTGTGCAGTGAGCTATAGATAAGGACTCTGAGTGAAACATTAATACCACTCATCTGCTAAAATGTAACACATAGTTTTATTTGATACCAGAAAAACTTTATTCCCAGTCAAATTAGTTTTCTATTGTCAGAGACTCTAAAGGCAAAACCTCATTTGTGAACTCAAATTTCCATTTGCTTTTTGTTTCAGGTTATTTGAAGGTTCTTCGCCAAGAAAAATTGAGAAATTGAAAACTCTGCTGTGTTACTTCAGGAGAGTTACACAGAACAGTAAGCATTGAAAAATGTCCCACATGATGTTGCAGCAATGTTTCTCTTTAAAGCTCTAAATGTTTTTCAGTTGATTATAATTTTTTTATTCTGTTTTTTTTTTTTTAATCTTTTTTTCAAGAGCCCAAGGGCCTTGTGACGTTCACCAGACAAACACTGAACCCTCCTTCAAACTGGGAAAGGTAATATTCTCTATTCTACTACATTATGAATTTAATGATTTAATGACCTGGATTTAAAATAGAATAAATTAGGATTTTTGTAATAACCCACACAGTAATCCATTTTAAAGCTGATTTCTTCTCCAAAAGCTGCCAAATATTAAATGACACAATGTTTAGGGTCATTAAATATTCTTTTCATGTGCTAACAATCTAAATTTAGTTAAATTGTATCAAAAATACACGGAAATGTCGAATGTACAACTTCATTGAACAAATCTGACTTGATTTTGTGTTCTCTCAGTGATCCAAACATTGACAACATCAACACAGTGTCTTTTCTTTCTTTGCTGCTGCTGAGAGACCTTGCTAGAAGGATAAAATAATGGCCACATTGTGCTTTGGGACGGCTTTTTAGCAGGCGGGATTATGTGACTGAATAGTGACAAATACAGACGAATTGTTGTGGAAAGACCTGAGGCTGAAGTGGCACTTTATATTCCATCATGACAGTAGTTAAAAGCTTACCATTATGTCGACATTGGGGATGTCTTCACAGCAGAGATTGCCCTGATAAAACTCTGAATCACAGTGAAACTCTTTGGGATGATAAACTGTTCACACATGCTTCACAAATAGTCCACATCCGACTTCACAAAGCTTTGCTAAACCCACCGGAAAGCAGTTTCTTTATGTTCATTCATGCCCACTAGTTCAAAAAACATTAATTCATTTAGGACACTTGATTTTTTTTTTTTTTTGTACACACTTTGCTGAATATCCTGTTTTAGAAACTGTGTACAAGGGGAATCTTCCCACAGTAGAATACCTGTCTGGAGTACTACTTTGCTGGAATGAATAACTGAAAGTTTTTAAATCTTTCTTTTGCCAAGCTGTCAGACTCAGCTGACGCGCCTACATATCACTTGTGAGGGGACAATTGAAGATGATGGATACGGGATGCTGCAGGTAGGAATAATATTTTACACTTTTGCATCTAATACCAGCCTGGCATTAGATGCAAAAGTTCTTCAATTAGACACATTGGTTACTTAACCGGGCATAAATGAACCCACTGTAAAAGCCTTCTTTCTCAGTGTCAACATTGTTGGTTGGAGTGTCAGATTTGATGGACCGTGCCTGTTTTGCACTCGTTGGTGTGGTCATACCTGACAAACTGACCATCACTGTGCCTTCCCTCTAGCTTTCAAAAGCAAAGAGACTTGTCTGAGTAGTTGTCCAGTACCTTCAGCTCGATCAGTTGTATAATTTTTTTTCGCATATCTGAAGGTTATTGGTTCTCTATCTGTCTGCATTGATTCACCCCATCTCCTCACTCCCCGCAGTGTTCCAGGGCGGTTGGTGCATTTTTTTTTTTTCCTACTTGACAGCTGATGTATACACATGAGTAGCTAAGAGGGGCAAGGGGCCAAGAGAGGACCCTAGGGTGGGGGATGAGGGAGGATGTGGTGTATGGAGAAAAAGATGAAAAGGGTGAACCATCTCACAGCGGTGACCCAGTGGGCCAGGACTCCTGCAGGGGGATTGATAGCTACCTCACCAGGCTGGGCACTGGCTGTGTGTTGAGTTTGGATAGGGCAGAGTGGGCTGTCATTCTGTCAGGAGGTGAGATTTAAGGGTGAGGGGGGTTGGGGTTAAGGGTGAACCGGTGAAGGAGGTGTGGAGTTGAGGGACTTGTTAGAAAACATACACATGCACATACAAACACACTCACTGTCACACAGATTGACGTAGCTGTGGGCCAGTGAGCAGAACCCTCACCCCTGACAGGCTGTTTAAATAGCAGCATTGTGATTGAATGGGCTCTCCTCTTATTCACGCCATAAAAACAAGGAGTGGGCTTACGTGGCATGAAGCTCCAGTATCACATTAGAATATTTCAGCCACTATCTCAGTCCATTTTATTAATGTTACATTCACCGAACATAGAGTCTGCAGCCACGCTAACAGTGAGGCTGTACTGGGCTGATGGGAATGTTATTTGTTTTTTAGGTATTTGGTCATAAACCAAAGAATTGGATTTGGTGCTGGTGTTAGACGAAAAGTCCAGGGATCACCAACGTGATTACAATTTATCCTGGTGGGGGGCATGAATGTGTGTACCCAATTTTGTCGCAATCCATCTGATAGTTGTTAAAACATTTCAGTCAAACACATGCCATCGTCATGGTACTCGTCGTCGTCATGGCACTTTTTTCACAGTATAAGTGAAAACTTTGGCAAACTTTGGTGAAAACAAGTCCCAAAGTTTAAGACTTTAAAACCAACATCTATCTGAGTATGGCTCTCATTAGGGACAAAGTTCCCCCCACAGGTTTATGACTTTGTTGTCATTGCTTCCTTCCCAATGTCAGATTAAAGAATGGCAAATACTGAGGATAATTAAAGTACCCACTCCTTGTTTAAAAAGACAGTTGTGATGTATCCTCTCTTGCATATAAAAATAGAGGAGGTTACATTCAAGCAGATTTTGCATTAATGCACGCTCACCATTAATTGTAGATTTTATTGGCATTTAACCATCTCTTTAGATTTCATGTGTGTTGTTTTTCTACAATTTCCTGATCTGATTATTTCCAAGCAGGAAGCAGTGTTATGATCCTTCGACATTTATCTGTATTAAATGACCACAGCGGGTGACAGATAATAAGAAGACACTAATAGAGTCATTTATTCAACTAATTGGAGTGACAGTAGCTAAACATCACAGTTCTTCTCAAGTGCACTGGATAGACAGGACAAAGAGCAATATATTAACATCGTTTTGTTTTGTTGTGTATATGTGGTCTAGCCAGTCACATTATAGCTTGCACAAATTCAGTTTGTCAAATGTGTCTCATTCCATTTTGACAATTCAAGAAAGTTTGAGAGTGAGGATGAAAGCTGGTGAAAGGAGAACTGCGGGAGCTGTGCCATCATGGTTAACTCTTCCATTGGTTTTCCTTTATCTCACTAGGTGGACTTTGCAAATAGGTTTGTAGGTGGAGGAGTAACAGGACATGGACTGGTCCAGGAAGAAATCAGGTTCCTCATCAACCCTGAACTCATTGTCTCTCGTCTCTTCACTGAAGCTTTGGAGTACAATGAATGCCTCATCATCACAGGTACTCACTGTCAGGATTGTATGGCATAAATTACTGTACCATAAACAGACTTTTACTCAGTTTTATATATATATGCTCTGTGTCTCAAATGTACTTCTTTGAATTGACACAATTTGTTCCTTCATCCCTTACGGTTTCACTGTCGTCATCTAGAAATTGAAAAATGTGGTAGAAGAGAAATGTGTTGTCCACAGAAGAGAAACAATAGAAAACATAAACAAAAAAATTTAGTAGAGTACAATAAATGTATATATTAAGCTATATAAAATAAATAAGCAAACAACAATATGAACATATCAAGGTAAGTCAAGAATTAAAAATGATTCAGAGTTCAATGAAATAAAAATCCTTTCACAAGACAGACAGCAGTTTCAATAGTACCTAAAGCAATAACAAGTTTTGGACAGTTACACATTTTTGTTGTTCAGGCTTTGTGCCTCAGCACATTCAATTTGAAATAACATAATAGAAAGTACTATAAAGTGCCAAGTATCAGCTGTAATTTGAGGTTTACATCAACATAGAAAGAACTATATGGGAGATATAGCTATTTTAACACAGGGCTCAAATTTTAGGGGTTCAGAAGTAACTGGAGTGAGACACATGTAAAATAAAACAATTCATTGGAGTCAGTGACTGCCTAACATCTTTGACCCATAGACACCAACAGATGGTTTGACTCTATCTTGTGCATGAACTAATGTTGAAACGACACACAGCTGCTTAAGAAACAATTAGCGGCCACGTGTCTAACCCCTGCAATTAAAAGGGCTATGTCTCCCACACAGTTCTTTCTTAATTTATGTAAACCCACTCAAATTAAAGCTGAGACTTGCACTTTAATGTCGTGTCCATTGTTTTATTTCAAAGTGGATGTGCTTAAGCACAGAGCCTGAAGAACAAAAAATGTGTAACTGCCCAAATACTTGTGCTCTATAAAAAGTTGGTCCCCTTTTTTCAAAAATGTGTGGTTCGCAGGACCAGACGATTTCCTCCAATTATCTTTGTATCACAATGCCAAGCCTCCTCAGGAAAGCTTTTTGCTGTGGTACTCTCCCAGTAAATACAGCAAACTGCACCTGTACCCTTTGGGTTGGTCAAGGGGTGTGAGTGAGCCTAAAGGCCAGTTGATATATATTCCCACGCCCTGGAGGTGCTGGAGGACGTGATTAGGCAGAAAGAATCTGCGCTGCCTTGTTCATCCTTCCACCACTGCATCTAGAACATACATGAACAGTAGGAAATGGATGGATGGATGATAATTTGTCAGTTTGTTTCTGTTCTTGGCTCTGAATTTCCAATAACACGCCTCTTTGTGTCTCCCACACGTGCATTCACACACACTGTAAAGTCCTCATACAGGAAGTAGATATTAGGACAGGTTATTTATATATATGCCACACTGAGAATTCTTTGAATGTAGTGCCACTTCATGCCATGCGGTGCGTTGGACCTTTATTCCTTGATGTTGCTTGGTATTTTGTACTTTCCTTTTCCTCCTATAGAAACCACACACATCTATGTAACAGAGAGCAAACTGGTCTTTTTTCGTCTCTTGAGTTATTTTCTGTTGTTCATTGAGCCCTGTGTGTTTATTGGACTCCATTCATTTTTTCCCCCCCGTCTTTCCATTTGGTTCGAAGGTGAATCCATTGCATTGATTCACTTGGGACTTCCCAGTTATCCTTCATTTCTCCCCAGCCGAATTGCTCTATTTTTCAACCTCCAACTCACTCTGCTTCGGTCAACCTGTCTAAGTGTTCTGCCCTCTCACTCGCCCCCCACCTTCTCCTCCCCCTCCTCCTCCTCTGACCATTTTCCTGCCTCTCAGCTGTACCTTGTTCACCGATGGTCATAATAAAAAACATACAGAGATTAAGATCATTGAGGCATGTACATAATATTGATTCAAATTTACCTTCATTATTTTGGTGTGTCATCGTAATGCATTGCCCCCTTCCCACATTTTGAAATGGCTTTATTTGATGAATGACTCAACTGACTTGTACCCACATCGTATTTATTCTAATGCCACTTTATCTAGTTAGCAGAGCAAAACAAATATTTAACATCCACTCATCATGTTTCGGTGTTGGTATTTCACTGCGACATAAAATACGCCTTTAGATTTGCCTTTGATGAAACAACATCATCCTGTTTGATAAATCCATCATTTTGACATGAAGACATAATTTAGCTGTATACAAACAGAAACTCAAATATAAATGGTGTTCTCAAACGTCTGCACTTAGATTCTGTCTGTGGAGCCTCCTTTGAACTTGAAGACACAAGGGGTTTATGTGGTCTGATGGGTACTCTTGGCACAACCTGCATCAAAAACATTCCATTGCTTGTTGCTTGTATGCTGGTTGTGAAGAGCAGAGTTGTAAAAGGAAACACAAACGTGCAGTTAGAGCCCCACATCCATACTGGTAATACCACCAAGCAAACACAATCAACGTAAAAATTGACTCCTGTCTTGTTTAGTACTTTTCTCTCAGTAAGCTAGGCGTTGTCTGCTTTCTATGGCGCCATGGTGTCTTCTGTGAAAATCCCATCTCTTGCAAGTCACCTTCAGTGGTTAGTCACTGTCCCCCTCCCTGACTCCCATAATTCTGCCTCCCTCCCTCTTTCCCTCCTCCTCCTCTCCACTTAACTTTATTACATTTTGGACAGAAAGGAATTTATAGCCCAACTAAGGTCATTGCTCCACTAATGGAATGGGCTAGTTACGGCATAGATTCATTAAAACCTTCAGAATATTCCTTGCACGCATGCAGTGTTTCCTCTTTAAGTCTAGCCTCTGTTTCAAGACTCTTTTTATCTGTCTCCGTCACTGTCTTTGTTTTTCTCGTCAGTCTAGTTAATCATATTTCCTTCTGTTTAGAGGTGTCTTCACATGGGGCTTCCAGTTTTGTGCATAGGCGTTTTCCAGATCGGAAGGTAGAGGTCCACGATGTAATCTAGTGATGGAGACCTGTATGCCAGGAAGCTGTCATGTGCGGTTGCCAGAATAAATAGGATCAAGGTGAAGGAGGAGGAGGACAGAGATCTGTTGATGGGAAAAACTGATAGGGGTATCCTGTTGTTTGACGTTAGGAGTCGCTACTGTTGTAGAAAGAACTTCATTTGACTGGCTGGACTTGCAATGGCGCAAGATGTTTTATAAAAAATGGTCTTTTTGTTCTCTTTGCCAAGGCTTTACGCAGAAGCATTATTCTTTTGCCCAGTTGTTCTGCCATCTTTGGTTTATGTCGTGCCATCATTACAGGCCATTAGCTTGAGTCTTACTTTGACATAGAAAGGAATTAAAAAAAAATCATTGTCATTCCTGCTTAGAATTCAAGTTTGTTTTGCAGTTGCAGGATTGGTTGACTGTACATGCTTGAAATCAAATCAATAAAGTACTGCTCTTACTTTCTTATAAGTACTCTACAGAAAGACATTTTAAAATACCCCTGAGCTTTTCTGGCTAATGTGAACTTAACTACAAATCTCCCCCACTCTGCTAGTTGCACACTTAACTCCAGTACACACACTAGAACCTCAAAGGCTATGTTAATTGCATGTTTAACTCCTGCTCTTCTATGAAGTGCTGTGTATCCACCTCTTACCTAATGCATGTATGGAGCCTTTAATAGGCATCATTTTTAGAATTGAATGCAGCTGTATTTGTAATAACGAATGATGAAACCTTTCCAGCTCTGATTCTGAGCACATACCAGTGGAATTTATAAAAACGCCACTGTCTTGGTAACAGAGGTGTCACTTATTGAATGATGCAAACATTTTGTAAATGTGGCCAAGGTTAGCTTTTTCTCTTCTAACCATTTCTTCTTATTATGGCTGAAAGCTTTTCATTTCAAACCCCAAAGCGGATTACTTATTAAATCAATGGCCTTTATTTATGACAATCCAATACAAGCTGATACTGTGTACTCGCATGGGGAGCATAGAAAGCACTAAATTTGATTTAAGAAACAAGGCGCTGAAACAGATTTAGGCCCACTGTGTGCTCTCACTGCTGAATACTGTGTAATGTCATGTTTTTTTCTTGACTTTCCTTCTCGTTCTGCAGGCACTGAACAGTACAGTAAATATTCTGGTTATGCTGAGAGTTACAAATGGAAGGAGAGCTACAAGGATGAAACTCCAAGGTATTTTTTTAAATTTTGAGGTTCTTGTTTTGATATTTTTATCCCAAAAACCTTAATGCAGTCAGAAAAAGTTGGGGGACCTTTATCAGTCCCACCCCTCTCATTGCTTCTCTCTCGTTTCCAGGGATGACTGGCAGAGACGATGTACAGAGATCGTCGCCATTGATGCTCTTAAATACAGGCACTTCTTAGAACAGTTTCTCCCTGAGAAGATGTCCAGAGAACTCAACAAGGTAAGCGAGAGAGAGATGTCCCTGTCTGTGTTTGCATAGTGATTGGGGAAATATAGCTAGCTTACATTCAGTATTACACATTTTCCAAACAACATAGCTATTTCAAAAGACATTATTGTCAGTAGTTGATAAGATAACGCTGGACATGACAGATATTTGACTTAAAGCTCATGGTTGAACTTTGACACATTGTCAGATATCACCTCCAAAGATGTTAATTAAAGGCTCTGTGGTCTGAATTTAGCTCAGGGCTACTCACAGAGCTATAAATGGTAGTGGTACTGTCTTTAACTACAGTTTTTTCTGCTGAGAAATTGGGCAAAAATATTCTGTACCTGTATGCAGTGTTGTATTGCTTATGGTTTAGCCTGAGGCTAAACTTAACTGAAACATCGTTACTTATGTAGATCTTACATATTCTTTATTTCATTTTAAATTTTAATATATAATCCAAAGAGATTATATATATTTATATTTGTATATATAAAGTTTCACTTGTCTTTTTCCTCCCCACCTTCACTTCCTCCTACTCCCTGTGCATTTATCTCAGGCGTACTGTGGATTCTTCCGAAATAACGCCAACAACAAGCACCTCTCTGCAGTAGCCACAGGCAACTGGGGTTGTGGAGCTTTTGGTGGAGACACGCGGCTCAAAGGTATCATTGAATTAAAAGCATGCGCTTATGAAGAAATCAACTGTTTTTTATTCGTAAGAGTTGTTATGGTAAAACTGCACTGCAGATGCATCATATTATTTATATGAAGTTTTCAATTGTGGATTCTCAAGCAGCAGCTAAATATCATTCGCTCAGACAGGATCATCCATTCAACTGCACTACTCCCAACTGTCGAAGCCCCCGCTGACGGACACTCAGCATTCATGCAGTATGGACTGTACGGCACAGTCACTGATGCCGGTCTCTGTCAAACCCCTCTGGTCAATTAGGAGCTCTCCCAGGGTGTGTCACTCAACCGTTCCTTCCCTCCCTTTATTGATCAGCTGACACACATTTATGTTTTCCATTAAAAGGGCGATTGATTACAGGGAAGGGACACCATAAATCCAGGCTGATGCAGGTCTCTGCGGGCTTACACAACATCACTCTTCATAAGCAGGAGCCCCTTACTGTCCCCTCGAGTACGCCACACCGCAAATTTTTTTGCCAGTTGTATTTCTAGTCAATGTCTTGACACATTTTCATTACCTTTTAATTTAGTTCATACTTATCATACAATGTGTTACTAAACGAGCATCTGCTGTGTTATGCCTGGATTCATGAAGGCTGTGCTGTGTTAAAGTCACGTCTCCACACTGCACTATGAATGCAGATGTTTAAAAACTGATATGTTCATGTACAGTTTCATGTAGATCTCTAAGTGTTAATTTCCTCTACAGCTTGCTATGAATAGATCCATTGGACTCGACAAAGTCCCTGAGGATGATATTAGCTTCCGGGGACCCCCGCCCATTAGCCCTGGAATTAGCATAGCCGGTATTTTTAGAAGGCAATAACTGTATTTTACATTAAAGTCCCGGAGCTGACTTGAGATGTGGTAGTTACATAAGTCTAACTGTTATGTTGTTGTAAAGATTACAGGCCTTTTGCAAATGATGGTTTGTTTTGTGTGTTCATTAATCTGAAATCAATATCCATTCTGTTAAATATTTAAAAGTCTTAAGACCTAATTTGCAAGGGCCAAAAGATTGAGTGCAGTTGATGAGGCTGTGCTACCAGTGGTGGATTATTTACTCTTCTGATACAAATTGCCCCTGTCAGTCGTGTTCTTTTCTGCCAGAAGCCGCACCTTATCTGGTTTATTGACCAATCAGTTAGTTATTTTCAGTGGTCAATTACGCATTTATGATTTCACTCTGAGGCTGAAGGATACTTATGACACTAATGCTGTGTATTGTCGTTGCCTGTATTTCCCTTCAGCTTTCTCCTTCTCTCTTTTTCAGCGCTGATTCAGTTGATGGCTGCAGCAGAGGCCGGAAGAGACGTGGCTTACTTCACATTTGGAGATGCTCAGCTTATGAGAGATGTTCATGAAATGCACACTTTCCTCACCGAGAGACGAGTCACCGTTGGTAAGGCTTGCTCACAAAACTAAATATGTTTAGTATTTTTGTTGTAGTAGCTGCAGTCACACAGATATCGCTATTTCCTCAACCCTGCCCCTGTTGAGCTTTTACAGTAGATTACATAATGAACAGGAATGGTGATGATATCAGCCACTGTTGAGATTGTGGGGCTCTTGAGGCTCATGCAGTTATCCGTGTTGGCGTCATTATAGGGACAGTACACATAAATAAAAGAACGCAGTCCATCTGTATGTTAAGTTATTCCACCTTATGGGCCATCTCCGCTCCTCAGCCCATCCATTCAGCCTCCGCTGCAAAGTGGATTACTGCCTGAACTGACCCCAGCCTCTCCCCTCCCCCTCTTTTCATTTTTCTTCCGCTGACATTTATTGAAGCCTTTCAGAGAAATTCCCCTCTAGCCATCCATTTCCTAAAGTGGAGCTACAGAGAAAAAGCTCACGGCTTGTGTGCGTGTGTATGTGCGCTTGATTTATAAATGAGCCCAAACACACTTTGGTATTTTTTAGTGTTTTTTTTTTCTCTTACAGTTTTGGTCTCTCTTGCTTGTTCTTTCACTCTTCACCCATTTGTCCTTTTTGTCTACTCCTCTCAAATCCTGTTTTATCTCCCTCGTTATTTCTTCCTTCTCTTGACCCCTGAACCATCCTCTCCCTCTGTCCCTCATGCTCTCTCTATCCTCCCCCTCTCTCCACCACCCTCCCAGGGCGTTTGTACAGTCTTTTGAACCAGTACTCGAGTGTGGTGTGTAAGAATTGCCGCACGACGCGACCTGAAATCAGTCTCTACAGTTTCATCTACGAGAGGGTCTCTTCCCCCGCAACCGGCGACTCTGCGGACTCCGCCAAGGATTCTGGGATGTTGCCTGTAACATCGGACTTCCATTAACACGGGGAGAGCTCCAACTCAACCTCCCTTCCCCTGTCTCTTTGTGTAATAGAGACTCCAGGTTCAAAAATGTGCTCTCAGTCTTGTGCTTACAATCACTTATTTCTCTCACACATACACTCCCTTTAAGTTTGTGACCCCCAACACACAAACTACCAAAACACAGTTTTGCCTTTCTCGCTGGTGGTATTATAGGAGCCTTGTAGTCCGCCACCAAATGTGGTGAAATGTTTCAGAGACTTATAGCAATAGTAAATCCTGGTTGCTGTTAGGCCTTTTCTTTACACTAAATGTGATGTGGAATTCTTTTGTTTTTACATACTAATTACAAATATGGCCAAATAGTCATTATATGCATGGTTGGACACTTTTCACTACTGATAATCCAGGATTCCTGGTTATCTTATATTGTGTTTGCTACTCTTTTTTTTTTTTGGATGACTTGTCTTCTCTGTTTACCATACCCAGGCTGTGGTGAGGTTCCTGAATGCAGAGAGATGATGAGATGCCATACTGTAGTCTATGCATGGGTAACATTTATTTATCGAATATTCTACAAATATATGCTGCTCTTTTATATCCTCTTAGGATGCGGAACTTCAACACACATATTGTCCTTAAGGCTTATGTTAATACGAGTGAAAAATAATCAATGAAATTGACACTGGTATGAGAATCATCTCAGATGAAACAGATATTTATGGTCATCGTCATCTTAGACCATTGATTCTATCATTTTCACACATGTTCAGTGTTAAGCACAGTACTGATACTGTATTTACAAATAAATGGGGGAGCAGATAAAGAAAGAATTGCACGCAAAATATTATTTTTGTTAATGTTTTTACTCAACATTTACTTTGGGGATGTGGTTATGGGTTTTTTTTAATTATTTGCTGTATTTCCTGATTGATGGTGTGGGTTTTATTTAATGATAGATTCATAAAGGCTGTAAATGTATTGCATAGTACTGTACTTTAGGTTTTTAGGTTGTACTCTTTTTATTATAATTTCTTAATTAAAGTATATCCTGTTAACATTGTATTTCTCAGCTCACATCAATATGATTTACTGACTAATGACCAAAGGATCTGTACAATACAAGCAAAAACTTAACAAGGTCGTGTGGAGATCAGCTACTTAAAGGCTGCATAGCCTCACCTCGGGTAACTAATTTTAATGTTAACTAAAAATTATGTCAAGAAGTCATTCAGCAGTATTCTCAGTATGTTTCTTTACATCCGGGTAATTGAATTATTCATAGATCATCTTGAAATAATAGATTTAATTGCATGACTGTTGCCTTCATCAGAGAGAATTCATTTCTTTTTTTATGCGTGTCTTTGAAACTGTGCCTTGGCACCACAGATTTCTCTTTTAATTTAATGAAATCATACATTATTTAATATTTGAAATGTGATTGATTTTTGTGATAGCACGTGTACCAAGGGCTGTCAGACAAATTTAATTCTAGCTCCAAACATGCTTTATTAGATGAATTAGGGTTCCTAAATAGCCTCATGACGTGGACTTCCATAAATGGTGTGTAGGCTTGGCTTGGGTAAGTGGATTAGACATTATCTGCTTCTCCCGCTCTTTGTACCGAGCCCAGCATTGGCCAAATGAGCTGTGGACTCAGTCATGGACACAGTCAATTTGGTTTGGCAGACCTGACTGTTTATGGCTGCTGTGAGCCTGAGTCACCTGAACATTAACTTTTTGGTTAGGTTACTGGTGCCTCCTGGATCAAATCTGTCATTACTCCTTGGACACTTGACATTGACACTGAATGAATCCCACAAATGAATAGCCACAATCAAAAAAACAGTGATGGATGTATTAAGACATTTTTCAGCTTTTGCACATTGTCAGAAACACCGGAAAAAAAAAAAACAGAAATAGGAGGTTGGAAAATAGTCTCATGTTTAATTTCCCCCATGCACAAGAAATGTTTCCAACATCAAACAGCTGCTCCAGTCTTGTCCCGTATAGTGATGTAATTATTCTAAACAGGATGTAATTTAACACCAATCCCTGTTACCCAGCAGCACAGGTCTTTTCATCGATGAACATTATTAATAAAACGCCAGAAAGCCACTGGTCTTCGCTCCATCTCTGTCAGGCAGCAACGCCACCACAACAAAATGGCATTTCAGTTAATAATTGCCTGACCCTGCGTTCTCTAGGTCAGCTGGAGAGCAGCACCAAACACAAACTCAAATCATGAAAAAGGAAGAACTGTCTCTTTGAGGGAACACTCATTATTAAAGTGGGTTGTTTTAGAGTGAATATATTGTGGCTGTGGATGAAAACACTCGGTGCTATCCAGCTAAATGGTTAAATTAAAGTTACAGGATGAAAAGGGAGGCTGTTTTGTACAAAGGTAACCAATTTAAAAGCCACATAATGACACTCTGATCAATGGCATGTTCTAATATCTAGACCTACACTATTCTGTCTGGTAAATCCTCTTACAACTTGTGCCCGCTTCACCCCCCCCCCTTTTTTTTTTTTCAGTGGTGTGTGATTGTCATGATGGATAATACTGTTCCTTCCTGTGCCAGCAAGTATGACTGATGAAAATCTAGATGAGGAGGAGAGCAGGGTTAGGGAGGGGGAAGGAAAGAGGCAGGAGAGAGGGAGTGAGGGAGGGCCAATTATCTTATTGTTTAACCCACTCAAGGTAGAAGCCCATCAATCTGAAACCACTTGCTCAAATGACTCATGTTCAGCCTTTCTAAAAGTTTAATTGGCTTATATAATTAACGCTGAGGGGAAAGACATATGTGTGATGTAACTTAGAGGGAAAAAAATGAGTGTGTGCCAGGGCTCATAGATTTGAAGTGACAGGATTGAAGTATGTAAACCAAGACACCACAAACCACAAACCTCACAATAATTAACCTCCTGATATTTTTTGTATCATTTAAGAAAAAAAAATCTGGAAATAGAAAATTATCTGGAAATATAATGAATTTTGTTGATTGTTTTTCTCTCTCTGTGTCTCTGAGCTGGTGTGTTTGGCTGTAACTTAGGCACCACTGGCACCTTTGGGTGCAGCAGGCTGCTTGCTTTGCGGAGGAAGCACCACCTGACAGGCGGGGGGCGTGTCAAACCGTGGCTGCTGCTGCTCTCGGATCTGTGTCACCTTCACTGATACCTGTCCTACTTTTTACCTGCACCCCTCGGCGATGATAATAGAGTCGAAGAGCGGTGCAGTCTAAGGTAAATGTAATTTGTAGAAATAAAACATGGGTGACATTTAAAAACCACCGTCCTGTTTTTTTTTCCCGTGATGCCGCGCTTTTGCAGTGTCAGAGACAAGGGGAGATTATGAGGATTTGTGTTGACGTTGAGGGATTAGAGGTCCAGGGACACCGCAGCAGACCCAGAATGAACTAGGCAATGTTTAAGCATTGATGTCGGCGCTGTGTCCTGAAGCAAACAGTAAAGCATCCTGCAGGAAAAGGTGAGGAAGTTGTAGCAGCGGGTTATACTGCAGTAACAGACCACCATACTTGGTTGGACTCTTCGCGGTTACACGCTTTTTTAATTTTTTGCAGCTGGAGCGACTTCGCGCAGAAACAGACTCACAGGCCGTTACATGGCTGTTAGTCATGCAATGGCTTTACATCAAATGTATGCCGCTTCGATCAGTGGATATTCCACTGAAAATACACGCTTGTAAAGGTCATTTAATCCACAACGAGTCTGTGCGCAATTATAGTTTATGCGTAACCTATAATCAGTTTGTGCAGCTGAGGTATTGTTTTCTGTGTGACATTCAGAAACTTCTCATTCAGAGGATGCTTTGTAATAAAATTGTGACGTCAAATTTTATTAATGCACACTTTTCTGCAAAACATACAAGATGTTTGCAACCAATTTTCTCTTTCTCTGTGTGTCTATAGCCATGAGTCAGTTTCGGGCGTTAGCGGGTGTGCTGAGGGGTGGGTGTGCTGGGGGAAGCCAGTGGCTGCGAGGGCGTGGAGGGGGCCCGGCCAGGCGCTGGGTTGATCTAAGGAGAGGCTGCTCCTCTGGGGCTGCACCTGTCCCCTCAGCAGTGGCCAGCAGCTCCAGCTATGTGGAGGAGATGTACTTTGCCTGGCTGGAGGATCATAAAAACGTCCACGAGGTAATCATGTGCAACATGTCCCATTTATTTCCATATCAGTCAATAACTGCTGAGAGATATTGAATATAAAGTTTTTTTTTGCCCATTAATGGAAATTTGCAGAGGGCATAATGTGCAGCACCCCTGGAACCTGGGCTGGTTTAACAGCTAAATTACAATGTGTTGGTCTTGAAACACAGTTCAGCACATCTCCGGCCAGAGGACACTTAATAAATATGCACTAGGGTGTGCTGTTAGCTCAATTGCCTGACTCATGTAAATATACTGTGGCTGCAAATGTTCTGGACTCCTGCCTGGCCTTTCAGACACATCAACCCCCCAGCTTTTCTTCCTTCCTCTCTACACTGTGACTAAAGGCAGGAAAACATAAAAACACGTCTTAACCAGAGTGTCCACTGATGTACTTCATTATTAGTCACTAAGCAGGAGCGATACTGTCGCTCCATGTTCCTGTTTGCCTCCTGTTGGATCTGCCTTTCTCTGTCTTCTAGTCTTGGGATGCATTCTTCCGCAACATCCAGGCCTCCAGTCCGTCTGGCGAGGCGGGAGAGAGACGCCCCTCTGCTCTGCTCCAGGGCCGAGTGCTGTCCCACTCACCAGACATGACGCAGAAAGTGGTGGAGGACCACCTGGCTGTACACACTCTCATTAGAGCCTACCAGGTAACTCCACACTCACCTGGCCCTGCTGTGAGGAACCCACGCACACACACACACACGGATACACACACTGTGCACACATCAGATTTTGGAGTAATGTGGATTTATGTTATTTGCAAATAAAAAGATTGATCACATATCTCATAGGCATCCATTTAAATATTAAAGCAGTGTCTGTGTACAGAATTAAGATGTCATCTGCCTTGAGCCAGAACTGGCTGACTATTAGTAACTCCGACGTGTGTGTGTGAAAAATGCATCAAACAAAATCAGCTTGACTCGCCAAAACAGATGCAACTGGCAATGGGAGCTGTTTATACTGTGTGTCCCTGTATTAAAAGGAATGTACAATTTGTTTGTCACTGCATGAGGTTATGCAAATTGGTAGATTAAGTCTAACCTACTTACCCTGGCTGCTTTTTGAAAATGGAAAATATCAAAGAGACTACTTAAACAAAACAGGTGGTAACGTTCCCCATGCCCTCAAATTAATTCGAGGAACTATCCGAGGGATTTATTAAATTCTGTCTTTTGGCAAAAGCGTCACTTTTATTCCCAGCTTGTTGAAATCCTGGTGGGAATGTGTGTGCGTACATACACATAAAAGCACTCCCATGGGGCTCTTTCCTCAGAGAGGTTGACCTATAACTGAGTGTTAGCTTATGCTCCAGCTGTTCATACTCAGCATCGTGCTGGCAGCAGGCCCCTTGCCAAATTGCATCTTGATCTCTTCTGCTCGTCACTTTCTGTTTTTTACCCGATTCTCTCCTTCTCTCCTCATCTCTCCCATCTTTATCTCTCTGAGTAGATCCGTGGTCACCACGTTGCCCAGTTAGATCCTCTGGGAATCCTGGAGGCTGACCTGGACTCCTTCGTTCCGTCTGACCTGATCACCACCATTGACAAATTAGGTGAGGTTCGCAACTCATACAACATCACAAACAAAGAATTTTTGTGATGATGTTGTTGTCTTTAGTCTCTTGTGTTCATAGTTTTTTGTTTACTGAGGTGGTTTCATCACTTTAAGCCCCATTAGCATTTAAAACAGACTATTATTTAAAAAATATGTCAAAATGAAATTTTTTGAATTACTGACTAGAGATTCATGATTGCATCCAACGGTATGATTCTACATTTCCTGGTTCTGGTCTAGACTTTGTAAATAAGAGGTATATGGTTGCTGGTAAATGGAGATAACCTGCAGGCAGTATACAGTATATGCTGATGAGATTCACACTTTAGAAGGCCTTTCTTCTAATTAACTCAGGATACTTGTCGTGTTTAAAGATTTCAGTCAAAAGCATATTATTCTCTTTGGCAGCTTCATCTTCCTTATAAATGTAAATATCTGATTTGCATTTTTCCTGTGCCTCTATACATGTATTATACACACATCTCCGATCCAGGGTCATGTAACTCATCAGACCCAGGCGTGTAAGTGGTATTTCAGTATAAAAGGCACCGTTACATTCTCCGCCAAGTCTGTATACGGGTTGGTTGTCCTAATGCTGTCATTAATCTCAGGCCTAGCTCTTGTCATTCTCCATTTCATTAAGCGGACTGAGGGTCGAAAGATGCGGGACGGCTACAGAGAGCGATCGAAGTCTGCGGTAATGGCTAGTAAAGAGGAGAGAGAGAGATATATAAGGAGAGGCATTGTTTCTGCTGTTATCGGTGATCAGTGTGTGTCAGGACATAGCGTTGCATTATGTATTGTTTCCAGGACTATAGCTCCTTAATGAAAGCTAATGACAGCCTCCGTAGCCCCTTATTTGGTCAGCTGATAGTGCACGAGTCTATTCTTGGACCCCTTTGTCTTTGCTGTGTTCCTAATATGATTTGCACCTGTCTCCTCTTATGTTGCTTGCGATCTTGAGCTTGACCAGCTCTCTCAGGTGGGCTTTGTCAGAACAGAGACCTATGTGTGGGGCTACAGATACTGATGCTGTATCTCCACAGGTCCTGCTGCCTTACACTCTACAGATTCATACTGGTTAATAGTTTTTATTTTCTACCCTCAGGTTTTGTTTTCACAGTTTCTGCCATCAAATCAATCAACTCTGATTAACATTTTTGAATTTTGTCAGTCAGTTCACTGCAGGCTGATGATCTGAGTGTGGAGGGAGCGCTGCAGTCTCATTAGGAGTTGCAGCTAATGATTGTTTTCATTATCAATTAATCTTTTGGTTATTATATTTTAATAGCTCGGTTAGTCATCATTTACACTACAAAAATATCTATCACGATTTCCCAGAGCCCAGGATGACATTTTCAAATGGCTTGTATCACCCAACCTCCAGTCCTTCAATTGCTTTTGATAAAGCTGGAACCAACAGTGTTTGATATTTATGCTTATTAAATGACTTAAATGATTGTTTGATGATCAAAGTTAGGTTCATTGACTAAACAACTAATCAGGTTAATTATAAATAGTTGTATATTTGTGATAAAACAATTACCAAACATTTCAGTAATCATAATAATACATTTCCTACTTTTTAATTCTCGTAACTGTGATTTCTGCTCTGTTCGCATGATATGGCGGTTTTACTTAAGCCCTGTTGAATCACATTATAATGGTGCTCCCTGGAAACTAATAGCTTACATCCTGTACAGTGAGCCTGATCAAAATTTATGTGGTCTTATTGTAGGTTTCTACGGTCTTGATGAGTCTGACTTGGACAGGAGCTTCCAGCTGCCTCCTACCACCTTCATTGGAGGAGAAAACACCACTCTTCCTCTGAGAGAAATCATACGCAGACTAGAGGTATTTTGTTTGTGAGTTTGATCCCGTACGTTTTTTTTTCTAATGATGAGGGAAAGCAGTAACACTGCACCATTCTTTTTCTTTTTTTTTTTTTAAATCTCTTCTTTTTCAGACATCCTACTGTGGTCACATTGGAGTCGAATTCATGTTCATCAACAACGTGGACCAGTGTCAGTGGATTCGTCAGAAATTTGAGACTCCGGGAATCATGCAGTTCACTAATGCTGAGAAGAGAACTCTGCTCGCCCGCCTGATCAGATCCACACGGTCAGCAGTGAATAAACTCTTTCCACAGCTTACACTTTGGTGACAGCACGATACTTCACTTTTAGTTATAACTCACATCACATAAACAAAAACTCCTGTGCGCCTGTATATTTGGGAAGATAAACACCTTATTCTTTATGTGAGCTCATTTTCATCTTTGATTAATGATGTAGGAAGTTACTGGAGTTCGTTCCTGGAAGTGATCTGCCTGCATATTTCTTCTCCTGTGGCTGATTCATTTCTTTATGATGTAACAGTAGAGTAAATCAATATGTGCTAAGTTGTTTCTATAGATGTATGCAAATAACTGTGTGCAAGTGCCCTAAACCTTCATAATGTTGTTCCAAAATTCTTTACTGTTATACAATACAATACATTAATATCATGAAGTATTGTTAGTTATTCCTCAATTGTTTTTCTTGTTAAGGTTTGAGGACTTCCTGGCCAGGAAGTGGTCATCAGAGAAACGTTTTGGTCTAGAGGGCTGTGAAGTGCTCATCCCTGCTCTTAAAACCATCATTGACAAATCGAGTGCTGCGGGCATCGACAGTGTGATCATGGGGATGCCTCATCGGTAATGTGTACTACACCTTCTGTCCCCTCTCTGTTCAGTCTATGCATGCAGTCAATTATTTTCCTCCCATGTCTGATGTAGACCTTACGAACTATATTCCCAGGGGTCGACTGAATGTTCTCGCTAATGTGATCCGTAAGGATCTGGACCAGATTTTCTGCCAGTTCGACCCCAAGTTAGAGGCTGCTGATGAGGTGAGGAAGAGGTTAATATGTGATAATGTGGAATACTGCAGAGAAACGCATTTTGAAGATACAGATGATGCTTTATTTATCTCCATGTCTATACTTGTAGGGCTCGGGTGATGTCAAATACCATCTTGGAATGTACCACGAGAGGATTAACCGCGAGACAGACAAGGACATCACGCTGTCACTCATGGCAAACCCCTCCCACCTGGAGGCAGTGGACCCAGTGGTAATGGGCAAGGCCAAAGCTGAGCAGTTCTACAGAGGAGACACCCAGGGAAAGAAGGTAACAGTTATTATATCAGGTACATGGTGGCTCAGTTTATGTTTTGAAAATTTGATTTTGAAGGTGCTTCATCTTCATCTTCATCTATGATGGGATTTTTCCAGGTCATGTCCATCTTGATGCACGGTGACGCTGCGTTCGCTGGACAAGGAGTTGTGTATGAGACCTTCCACTTAAGTGAGCTTCCCTCCTACACGACACATGGTACAATCCACGTGGTGGTCAATAACCAGGTACTGGAAAGATCAGTGTCACTATAACTATTTCTAAAATGCGTATCTTTTATTATTTGCTCACATGCCAACAGATAGGGCAGTAATACTAATACTATTACTAATACTTATAGTCTTACTTATAATTATTACTACTACTACACTTGCTTTAAATAACTCTGTTAAAATAATGATTCCAAGCAAATTGTAATTAAAAACTAACAAAATTAGGTGTGAAAACTTTTGTTTTACACACATTTTGTTAAACTCATTTTGATTGTTTTACATTTGATTTTAGGCTCTAAATGTAAAGTTATCATGTTTAACATGTGATTGTTCCCTCCCAGATTGGCTTCACCACAGACCCTCGAGTTGCCCGCTCCTCTCCCTACCCCACCGATGTGGCTCGCGTTGTCAACGCACCCATCTTCCACGTGAACGCCGATGACCCCGAGGCTGTCATGTACGTGTGTCAGGTGGCTGCAGAGTGGAGGAACACCTTCAACAAGGATGTGGTCATTGACCTGGTCAGTCACAGCCAAGTCTTAATGGATTAACACTTACATACTAAGACGTATCTTCTGTTTTTAAGGTGTGTGTGCATGTGTGTGTGTGTGTGTGTGTGTGTGTGTGTGTGTGTCTGTGTGTGTGTGTGTGTGTGTGTGTGTGTGTATTTACAGGTTTCTTACAGACGGTTTGGCCATAATGAGATGGACGAGCCCATGTTCACCCAGCCGCTGATGTACAAACAGATCCGTCGGCAGGAGCATGTGCTGAAAAAGTACTCTGACAAGCTCATTGCTGAGGGAGTGGTGACACTGCAGGAATTTGAGGTCTGTGATCTAATGCTGTTTGCTCTTGTTAAATATACAGTATATTGGTAGCTGCTACTGTATGCTCTTGTGTTTGATATCACCATCCGCTGGACTACGTGCATTAAATCAAACTTAGATATTACCCTAGCCTTTGGGTAAATGTGTTGTGCCAGCAGCGCTGTATTAGAGTTTCAATTTACTGACTCAGTTCAATCACCTGGCCTCACAATCCCTCAAACACAGAATATATTGCTCAATGAAGTTGAAGTATCCCTCAGATTCTGGCGCCATTCAATGGAATTGCTCAGTTTCTTCATCCAAAAAAGAAACTTTGATCGTAACATCCATTCTGAACATTTTTTTTTTATACCACATGTCAGAGAAATACTGCAGCACCTCTTTGGTGTGTTAGTCCCTGGCTTTTGATGGACATTGTTTTCTGTTGTGTGGCCTGCTATTTGGAGTTTTGCAAAAGCCCCATTTGTAATATGGCAAGGCAGAACCATTACTGCTGGTGGAGACTTTCCTCCTCCTCTAATATCTCTCTCTCTTTCTCTTTTTCTCAGTCTCTTTCTCTCTCTCTCTCTCAACTACACACAGTTTTGGTTAGCCAGCTGCAGCCCTTTAATTAAAGTAAACAAATTGTGCATCATTTAATATGTGACATTTTTCATTGTCCCTATTATACAATACCAAATGTGGATGCAGGAAGAGGTTGCCAAATATGACAAGATATGTGAGGAGGCATACACCAGCTCCAAGGATGAAAAGATCTTACACATTCGACACTGGCTTGACTCCCCCTGGCCAGGTAAATTCTCCCTTTACCCTAAAACACTTTCTGCTGAATACTTTCTGTTCCCGCTGAAAGGAAACTGTCTCTCTCTGTAGATTTCTTCACAGCGGAGGGAGAGCCCAGGAGCATGAGCTGTGTCCCCACCGGACTGGAGGAGGAGGTTCTGCAGCACATTGGCCACACAGCCAGCTCAGTGCCCCTGGAAGATTTTAAGATCCACCCCGGTGAGTCCAGTTGCTTTCTGTTGGAAAAACACAATTACTTCGTTTTTGGACATTTTCTTCTACTCGGCTGATATTAGGTCAATAAAGCAGTTCACTTGTAAACACATCCTTTCCTAAGAGCAGCTTTTTGGCCTACACAGATGAGGCTATAGCAATTAACACTGGCGCAAGGGTTTTTAATGTTTCTTACAACACATTACATCAGTCAATTGTGTTTTTTTGTTTTATATTCCCTTCACCGGTGCTCCTCTGAGAAATCACTTGTTTTTTGTTTTTTTTTGTTCCTCTGTCTGTGCTCGTGTTCCAGGAGTGTCTCGTATCCTGCGTGGTCGAGCTGACCTGGTGAAGAATCGGCAGATGGACTGGGCTCTAGGAGAGTACATGGCCTTCGGTTCCCTTCTCAAAGATGGCATTCATGTGCGGCTCAGCGGGCAGGATGTAGAACGGGGCACCTTTAGGTGAGTCTATGTCGACACACAACTGAAAACTCAATGTTGCCTCATTTTACGAATCCTTTTCAAACCTCTGTGCCTGTTTGTATTAAATTCCTCGTCTGCGCTACGGGGAGCTCCTACTGCCACCACGGCCTCCTGCTGAGGACAAGTGTGCAGCTCTGTTGTACTAAAGAAACCTCAAGTGTAGTTATTAAATAAAACAGTGTTTTAAATATATCCATTTTTTTCTCACTTGGAGATAGTCATGAGCTCACACACAAATTACATTATTATTTTATCTTTCTTTACAATCACGTACAAGGCCTGAGCGACAAATCAGTGTCATTGTTTATCAACTTGAAGCTGAATCATATTGTGATGAAGTGACATTATCTTTTTGTCATTCTATAAATTTCTATTGTCCAAATCAGTGATGAACTGTAACTGAAGGTTCACATTATGCAAATGAAAATAAAAACAAATACATTTTTTCTCATGTCATTTGCAACAGTAGAGCACAGTTCAGTGTTTTGAGCTTCTTTTTTTTTTTTATGTGATATTGCATGTATTTTCCATATTGGCCTGGCCACATTATTAGGTACACCTATTGAGTTTAATGTAATACATCATAACAGATCTGCCACAACTTCTACATTTAGGAAGATTAGATTATTATAATGTTCATTTTTTGTTGACTTTTTGTTGGTGTTAATTCAACTATATGTTTATTATTTAGGACATAGTCAGTGGTGGTGTCGTACTGACCCCCATTATAATGAAATATGTTTATAAACTACAGCCTCAGTAATGTAGAGTTATATGTAATAAATACCTCTCTGACAGTGTCAATCAAAACTGAACATTATCATTGTTGTAAAGGTGGAACTGATGGCAGAGCAGTTGTGTTGGATTACATTAGATTTTACACGTGCACCTACTGAAGTGGCTGCTGAGTACATGTCGATATTGGAAAATATTCTCAATACTATGTCACCCAGCTCTGCGGTGACTCTTAGATTGAGGTTTCCCCAAATATACTATTTTGAAAACAAACTGGCACATTTGTTGAGAGTGTCAGGGTCACCATGCCTGACCAGAATTAAGGGGTAAAAAAAAAAAACACTCTCATAGAGACTGAAGTGAATTTAGTAATTGGGGTGGGGGTGGGGGTGGCACAGGGAGTCTGTCAGACAGAGGACGTCAGCACAGTCTCCTGGGATCTGTGAAGCCCACATGGTGTTGTCATGGTATGGAGGGAACGAGTGACACATGAACAAAACCAGCTCCCCCTTTTCACTGCGCCTGTCTCATCTGTCCCCTATCATTTCTCCACCAGCCCATCTCTACTGACACCGCACCCGCCCCCCCCCTTCCCAACCCGCCTCCAGCTCACAGCGACATACATCACACTAACTAACCAGAGGCTACGGGGCTTTTTCTTTTGCCTCGCATTTACCACTGACATCGACTTCTCCTCTTCCTCTGTCCCGTTCAGTAGGCTAATGTTCCTGGCCTGTAAAAAAAAAAAAAATGACAGCAGTCAAACACGACATATCACCTGGTGTTTGTTCCACATTTTATTCTTTGTGTTACTTTTCTTTCTCATTGTACTTCAGCTATACTTTACCCCCTTTACCTCCCTTTACTGCTTTTTTCCTCCTTCCACCTACAGTTTTTTTCATCCCCCACTACTCTGTTTCCCATCTTAGGAGCTGAGCATATTGGCATGTTACAGTTGAGTGGGCCTGCTTGCGTTTCTGTGATGTACGTAACAGCGTGGACTAATGGATTCAGTTGTCGTGTTTGGGTGGGTTGCATGCGCTGCTCCGTGCACCCCTTTCCCTGACTAATGGGGCCCCCAGGCAGAGGAAGTGTGTGTGTTTTTGTGTGTGTATATGTGGAAAAAAAAAAAAAAAAAATATTGGGCACGCAGTTTATGAGGCAATCCCAGAGAAAGACCTCATTCTCGTGAGGGTTTTTTGGGCCCTCTTTGGATTGTGAGCGAGTGGATTGAGAGAGTGACCTCAATTAATGCTGGATGCTCTTAATTTTCTCCCTTCATCAAAGGATTCCTTGAAGAGGAAGCGTATATCCTGCAGATGTGGAGCAAGGATCAAAAAAACAATTATGCAGTACATGATGTATCCTCATTAGTCCATAATTATGGATGATATTATTCAGAGGACTCAAATCATGATCATCTAGTCTTATGGGAGGTAATATATCAGATTCAAGATAATAATCAATAGATTTTGGTTATTTCCGGCATTTCTTTTGTCTGACAATTACATAACCTCTAGCACTGTGTGCATGTAGACGTCATTAGAGTGATGTTAAAGGGGTTTAAGTGATTGTCTGATCGTGCTGCATTTGAAGGCTGATTCCTGCACTGGGAGCGAGCCGACTGGCAGGGCTTGTTAACGCTTGGCTCTTTGCTCCCATCAACTCTTGTTGGGCCTCATGCTGCCTGAAGATCGGGAGAGAGGAGAGTACTGCCTTTATAGGCTGAAGCACGGGCTGTAATGTGTGTGATTGTGATGACCATGCATCTACTGGGTTAAGAACCTTTAAAGAAATCCAGTTGCCTTAGAAAAGCTGTTGTTTTCACCACTTATTTAAGACAGCTTAGAGTTCTCAAAATCTTTTGTGGCAGTATCGCTCTGGAGTTATAAATGCCACACTTTGGATTTTTCTTCAGTAAATACTAGTGATGAAATGATAAGTTCAATCAATTTTCAGAAATTGAGTAATCAGTTAAGGAGCAAAAGCAAAAACCACAAACTGGTTCCAGCTCCTTAAATGTGGCACTTTTTTTCCTCCGTTTTCTATTATTGTAAATTGATTTTTTTTAATCTTTTATCTTATCTTCAATCTTTTATTTTTAATTTTTATGTACCATACGTTCATGGATGGTGGTATTTGTCTGTTTCAGCTCTTTCTGTCTCTGCTTATCTGGTGTTTTACAGTCACCGTCATCATGTTCTGCACGACCAAGAAGTGGACAAACGTATCTGTGTTCCCATGAACCACCTGTGGGCCAACCAGGCTCCTTACACTGTCTGCAACAGCTCCTTGTCAGAGTACGGAGTGCTAGGTGAGACCGAAGCCGCTCTGGCTACACAGCGTGTTATAGAAATCCTTTTTTTTTTTTTTTTTTTTCCCAACTCTGTTAGAAGATGACTGTGATTTCAGGTTTTGAGCTTGGCTTTGCCATGGCCAGCCCCAATGCTCTGATCCTATGGGAGGCCCAGTTCGGAGACTTTCACAACACAGCCCAGTGTATCATTGACCAGTTCATCAGCTCAGGCCAGGCCAAGTGGGTCCGCAACAATGGTATTATCCTCCTGCTGCCACATGGGATGGAGGGAATGGTGAGAAGTGACAATCAACCAAGCTATAGTTCTTTAGAAAATGGAATAAGGATATGATTCTGTAGTTTTGGATTTTTTAAAATATGCCAAATCTTTAAGTGAAATTCCTACTCCATTTTGTCATTATGTGTCCTGCTCTTCTTCTTTCTGTCCTCAGGGTCCAGAACATTCATCAGCTCGACCTGAGCGCTTTCTGCAGATGAGCAATGATGACCCTGATCACTTCCCTGTGTGTTCACATGTGCAATTTACATTACGGCTCAAATGGTTATCGATGTCAGGAATGTGATTACCTAATGATAAATGTCACAGAAACTCTTTAACGGTGTGCTGCTTTTCGAATCCCGTAGCTTCAGTGTTTTAATGGCTATGCTTATGTCGTGACCACTTAAGTGATGATTGCCCTTTTCTCGAGAGCTGAGAAGTCTCTTCATTTTGCCCTCCAAAGAGTTGGTATTCAGCAGTAAGTCAGGTCCAAGGGGTCGGCTCGTACGAGGGAACCACAGCGGGCTGTATCAGCAGAAGCTTGCCAGTTTCATCCCCAAATGGGATATTGATCAAACTATGAGTGTCTGTGGGAACTGAGGGATTAGCATTCTTTGTCCTGCGTGTGTGTGTGTGTGTGTGTGTGTGTGTGTGTGTGTGTGTGTGTGTGTGTGTGTGTGAGAGCGAGAGGGTGAGAGATACAGTGCACTAATGCGCTCAAGCTTTCCCCTGGCCAATTATGAGGGCAACCATCAGTATAACTTTAGAATTTTGTGTATATGAAGTTAAATCTTTGTTTTCAGAGTCAATAACCTTTATAATTCCTTTTTTTTTTTTATTTCTATTTAGGAGTTTAATGGAGATTTTGAAGTTCAGCAGCTGCATGACTGTAACTGGATCGTAGTCAACTGCTCCACGCCTGCTAACTACTGTCATGTGCTCAGACGACAGATTCTGCTGCCATTCAGAAAACCGGTAAAGTGTAACATCGTCTTCACCGTGTTTTATCTGTGTCTTGCTGAGCTTCAGTTTGTCTTGTAATGATCGTTTTTACATTTGAACTCTTGCACAGATTTCATTCAGTCACACATGTGGGCCACTGCTTTCGTCAAAGATAAATCCAAGGCATGCTTTGGAAAGTAGTTGCTGATTTGGCAGGAGTTACTGATGTTAGATTTCTGGAGTCCTCAAAAACTCTTATCTCCTCCTGACATAAAAAATATTTAGTTTGCCGCCACAGCAGGTCATGTCTGTTATTCCAATTAAGTCTCAAATGTGAGAAGGTGAGCGGAAAAAATGTGGTTCAGTCTTAATATTCGTTCATTGCTTCACCCACTATGTTATGATACAATACTATATCAAAACCACACTTTAAAAAGTTTCAGTTTGCAGAAATATGCATAACCTGTGATAATATTTACCTAAATCATATACAGTACAGATATGTTTCTGTATGTTCTTATTTAGTACTTTGAACCACTAAAGTAATGCTAGTTTAGGTGTAAAGTTGTAGAATGTAAAGCATTTTTTTTTTTTTGTTTGTATGTGCACATCTCTTTTTTAGTCTCTCACAGTTTTCAGCCACAGTGAATGTCTTAACTGATCCCCTGTCGCACGTAAATGCAATGCTTTGCGAAGCATGAGAAAATTACTTCCTGAGCAAATTAGTGAGAGGGCCAATGGGGGATAATATTGTTTGTTTTTTATGAAAAACTCTGAAATTCTGGACTTGGTCGGCTGAGCACAAAGGGTTTTATTTATTTGATTGTTAAAGAAATGTTTTGTTTTCCCTATGCTGATGTTGCATGCTACATGGTGGCAATAAATTAGCGTGAAAAGAGATAAAAAAAACTTTCATCTCTGGAGTTTTTTCAAGGCGCACGATAAAGATACGGATGACAGAATCAATCTGTTGTTTGTCGTTGACAGAAACTTTTCCCTCTTTTTTTTTTTTTTCCACAGCTGATTATTTTCACTCCAAAATCTCTGCTGAGGCACCCGGATGCAAGGTCCAGTTTTGATGACCTCGCCGAAGGTGAAGTTTTACATCATCTCTGTGAAATGTGACATAGGAATGTGTCATAAATGTTGGTGTACAGCTGTAGCAAACATACCATATCCACTGTCTGCAGGCACTAAATTCAAGAGGCTGATTCCTGATCAGGGTCCTGCGAGTCAAAGCCCAGGGCAAGTGAAGAGGGTGATCTTCTGCACTGGCAAAGTCTACTATGAACTGGCTAAAGAGAGGAAACAGCAAAACCTGGAGAAAGATGTCGCCATCATCAGACTTGAACAGGTGTTTATTCCCTCTCCTCTGTCTGAGCGTGTCATACACTGTGGATTTTGAAATGGGAGTAATGCAATTTTCTAATTTCTCCTTCTACTTATTCTTCACCTTCCCCCTTAGATCGCTCCGTTCCCATTTGACCTGGTCAGAGCAGAGGCGGAGAAATATGCCAACGCGGAGCTGGTCTGGTGTCAGGAGGAGCACAAAAACATGGGTTACTATGATTACGTCCGGCCACGTTTCCTCACAGTGATGGCCAACAGGAAACCCATCTGGTAAGGCTCTCGCTTGATTTGCTCATGAGGTGAAACTGGAACAATCTGTTCAGAGAGTCTGGTAAAGGATTTGAACTCTTGTCACTGGCGACAAACTGTCTGTGTTTCTTCCAGGTATGTGGGACGGGACCCTGCAGCCGCGCCTGCGACAGGGAACAAGTCCACCCACCTGAATGAGCTGAGGAGGTTCATGGACACTGCTTTCAACCTGAGCGCCTTCCAGGGGAAGGACTTGTAATGGAGATCTGGAATGAGAACCAGGCTGGAGGTGCAGTTTCATCTCCAACCACCATAGTCTATTTATTCTATGAAGTCTTCACATGGCACAGTTTTACAACTCTTATAGATTTGTGACAATCTGAAGCATAGTCTTAGTAAGCGTCATTCTAACCCCTGATAACCTTATGTGAAAGATAAGTCTGCAGCACTAGCTGATTTATGCCTGAATCAGTCTACACAATATTTACATCTGTAGAGATGGTCACCGCATCAGATTAAGAGATCATGTTTTTGTTCCGACTTGAACGAGATCTGTGTCAGACTACATGTTGAATCCCAACCAGTCATACTGTAGCTTGCAGACCTTCATGACCTGCAACAGCTGTGGTGTCAGAGGCGTCATGGAGGACACTGAGGATGTTATTAAAGTAGGTGGAAGATGACAAAAAAAATACTACTACCACTACTACTACATACAAGTCTTTCTATGATATGTCCTATACGCAGAATCAGTTGTCTTTCACTGTAATGCACTAATGTAATGCATGGGACAGAGCAGCAAATTGTTGTGGCCAGTACTCATTGCTATTCCCTGGCCATGCCCCATGTCAAATCAAATCATGTCATTTTTATTTATATATCCCAAAATCACCCTCTGTCAACCTTTATCTTTATACCCTTAATTTGGAGAAGGAAAACCTCCACATGTAGTCTGATCCCAGCTTTACTGCAACAATCTGCACTTTATTCAACCAACACTATTCAGCAAAGGGCCTTTATGGTTGTTTTGGTACAGTACAGTGTGTGTTTATAGAGTGTTGTCTAAAGGGAACTAGACACATTTCAGCCTCTACAGGGTGCTAAACCTCCAACACCGTGATTTCAAAATAAAGGTTACTTGCAAAAGTATTCTACAAACATTAAATATAATCACTCCATCACAGAATTCTCACTTGAGCACCTACTGTAGATAAGTGGTGAAGTAATAACAGTACCTCCAATAACATTCACACACCAAAATTCAAATTTGTGACAATCACTGTTTTATGCAATAGCTTTAGTACTGTAGATAGCTCCATTGCTTATATGCAGAATACTATTGTAAATTTATAGTATTGATTTGCGTTTGTATTGATTTTTGTAAATGATGACCAGATGCACACAAAACACTGACCGTTTTACTTAAGCACTGAATATATATCACATATCACTGGTATGAAGACTGTTCTCAAATTAAACACAGCAGTAGGTTTTCTGCCTGTATTTACGTGGGCTACCTTAGCTGTAAATGAAAGAGGGTTTGTTGTCACACCTCACTTCACCAGGAGACATGAGCCAGCTGGCATAGAGACTTGCAGCCATGTTTTCTACTTAGGACATAAGGCTCGGCTTCCTCTTCAGAGGCTGAGGGATGCACACACACACATAAACACAGCAAAGCCTTGGATGCTTTGAGAGCAATATTGACGCTTGGTTGTCAAATTAAAATCCCCAGGTATTTAACAGAATTGATATTAGTTACTTCTCTGCTTTGTAATGCTCCGTAAAATTATGCCTCTTGTTTAACTGTACTGTAGCTTTCCTTTTCCACTTACAGCTGAAGATTTAACCATAAGCCATGCACAAACATCAGCTTCCATATTAAATGACTTTATAGGTTTATGTATTGTACTTAATTAACAGAAGAAAAATACGTCCACATATCCGTTTGGGTGCTGAAACATACGCACAGCTTGATGAGGTTGTACTAACACTAGGAATAATGACACGTACAATAAAATATCTTTAAGATCAATAACGTGCTTTGGTCGTCATGTTTAGTTGTATATAATGCTGGACATTTTATTTGTGAAAAAAACAAATGTGTATGGTTTAATGAAACAAATACATAGGAGCAATACTTATAGATGAACCAATCTATTAGGGGCAAATATTTGATGTTTAGCCCCCATTGATATCTCACCTATCATCTTCTGTGAATCATACCCTCTTGCCTGCAGCTCCCCTTTAAGTAAACAGGGCATAGTGCACAGGGTGGACTTCACATGGCTGATTCATTATTTTCCCAGGGACCCACAAATCAATGGTGAATTTTATTACCTGTTTCCAGGTTTTCTGTGTCCCTGTGGTAATTACATAAACAATTTAAGAATATGTTTCAAGTCAGTCCAAATATAAACTAAGACAATAAATGTGTTAATATAAAATCCCTCCCCCCCGCCCAAAAAAAAGACTGGCCCACAAGTACAAATCTGCAATTAAGTAAATTACCATCACCAACTGACAATGTGGTAAATCATGTTTTATATGTCTTCATTCAAATGTCAGGCTCTGTTAACGTCAGCATTCTCCACAGCAGCAACAGCCTCCTTGCAAACAGGGTCCAGTTTTCCATCTCCGCCTTCAGGGGGGAAAGCACAACAGGTTGCCAGACTGTAACATCACACAGTGATGGGCCTATCGCCATTAGGTAACATTTATACTCTCCGCTTTCCGTAAAAGAAAACCAAACTCACCGAACTCCAGCTGCTTTATATGACAGGTGAAGACGAGCTCCCCGTTGACCACGAGCTCCACCGTGTTCCACTCCTGTGTTTCTTTCAAGATGCACTGGTGCCCGCGCACTGTCAGTGCGGCTGCAGACATATTGGACGGTCAGTGTTTAGCCTCACCTCACCTGAAAGCTGAGGGAAGCACACGACTTGCAGGTGTTCTAATGGGACTCGGATGGGAAAAAGAAACGTACCTCGGAGACCCTGCAGGCGGAAGGTCCTGTGTTGTACAACTCCGCTGGATTCATACGGTCCGTAGCAAATTGTCACCTGCGCGCTCGACGGCATTGTTTGTTGTTACCATGGGGAACTCACAACACACACACGGCTTACTGTCCAGCTAGTATCCAGGAATCCCATTTCCTTCACTCGTTAAAACAAACAAACTTTACTCATCATAAGTTTTAACAATTCGGAGAGTGTTATCAAACAGGCTAATTTTTCCTTAACTGGACGGTTAATTAGTTTGGGCTGGTTCTTGTATCAGGCCAGTGTGTGGAAGGAGAGACATGAGGCTAAAATACTGTGTGAGGTGAAAGGGACATGCCGAAAACAACGAGATGTTAGTTAGTTAGTTAGTTAGTGTGTGAGTTACACTTCCCGACGTCATCATCTCTGATGCTCCTTATAACTTGAGAACTGGCCCGAAAATCATCACGTTTTATGTTTTCTTCAGTATCACAGTAATTCACTGATAGTTGTCAGTACATATAATGATAGATAGCAAACAGGAGCTGCAAATAATGAATTCGGCATACTTAATTTTTCAAAAATGTAAACAAATATTGGTTTAAAAAATCTGAATCCATGGCAACATACTTCCTGTTTCTTGTGAAAGTTTACATTTGTTAATTGTTCAACAGCCTATCCAATGTTTGATAGCTGTAATTATGAGCTACAATGAGTAGTCTACTACTACTACTAATAATAATAATAATCATTATCATAACCTACTGTAATTCCACCACAGGACAATAATACTGGTACATTCATGTTGATCAAAGTGCATTGTCTGTAAAATAAAAAAGTATATTTGAGATAAAAAAGTCGTATGAAGTGAAAAGCTTGATAAAAATGAATCATGGGGTGATTTAAAAAAAAACTAAGTGGGTTTATGTGTAAGCAGATGTTTTCCATACTTAGCATAAACAGAGATTTGTTAAAATCCAAACATGTTACTGATCTGTAAACATCAAAATGAACAGAAGTTTTCACTTTATTTTGGTTTCTATGTTTTAATCTTCAACTATACTCTATAAATAATATTTGACAGTAAACACAGTGATCACCTCTGTTTAGTAAGTTTCGTATACTTACTTTTTAAACGTACATTTACATCCTATAACACTATATCATACAAAAATAAATAACTTAATTGATATTCTGCTCATAAATGTACAAATACACAGTTGCTCATACTTAACATTCTTTGATAAACTAAAAAGTATCCCTTGAAAATCTTAGTCAGTTGTTCTCTGTTTATTGATCCAACAAACACAGTATCAGTCCCAACAGAGAACTGTGTGAACTGTCCAATGATTTTATAAAAGGATACTTTTTAGTACCATATGTATTGTTGGTGCAATAGACAACAATTAATGAAGACAATTACATGGAAATTGCATAGAAGACTGTAGTTTCACAATGTACCATAATCTTCAGAAAATCATCAGATAGCAGCATGCGATTTTGCAAAGTGACACCTGAGACAATCAGCCATGTGTCATATATCTGAGACTACTTTTGCCCTGTCAAACTGACTGACAGGCCTCATGGATGAAAGGATGCAGACATGGAGAAGGGAGAACATTTGCTCATTTCCCACCAACCTTAACTGTAGCGCTGGTTGTCATCCAACAATAAATTTACTCCTTTCTTTGGCTGATTCATCTCAATTTAGACTTGTATTGAATTTGTATCTACATACATTAGCTATTTTGACAGACATTTCAATTCCTGTTGTATATTGGATTTTTTTTTTTTGACCACAGCTGAAAATGTCATCTATAATAACCAAACTCCTCTAATATTCTCTAAGAATATAGTAGGTTAGATGATCGTCAGCACTTGAAACATTTTACAATATACAACACAACAGCTTTACATAACATTTTGTATCACAGTTACAGTTTATATTTTGTGAATGAGACTGAGAGAAATTACATTATTGCAGCACAAAAACATACATTTAAAATCACACCACCACTATTTTCACTGGCACTGACAGATTGCTATGATTTACTTCCGGTCTTCAAAGCTTGTGCTTCTTCCTGTGAATGAAGTCTGGGTTTGAGCCTCCACTTTAGTTTGGTCTGGCGTCTTCACCATAACCTGTGGCAGTGTTTGCTGATTCCTGGTCAAGTCAGACGATCTCTGCGGGGTTTTATTTTGCCAGTTTGTTTCCGTTTGTGTGTGCGTCTCCAGTGTCTTAGCCTTTCTTTGCTCGGCTGGATTGGAGCCGCAGTTGCATTTATTGCACAGATCCCTCATGTCCAGGAGTCCCTGCACCAGACACTTGACTAATTCTGCTGAACATGTCTGTGGGCTCTCGCGGAAACTGGACACAGAGAAGATAATGTGGTCTGACTGAGGATTGTAGCACGCTCCATATCCATTTGGAACCACGGGTCCGTAGCAGCAGAACATCTCAACGGTAGTCGGGACCTGAGGGAAGAGGGAATGCAGAATCAGTACTGTACAGTTTTACTCTTGTACTCAAATACTGCTGCAGTTGGAAATGTTTAGATAAGACTATTTAGATGTGTGTTGCAAATTTTGATAACTGTCAGTTTTATAAATTAAACCTAAATTGACTAAAAGTGGCATCTTATTAAAAACATCCCTTTAGTAGCACAATATAGAAACACTATACAGTAGAAATAGGACGGGTATGTGCTATAGTGCTAATAACAGGCCTCCTCTGGGACTTCAGTACTGCACTTCTCACGAGAAAAAGAAAAGAATGATCAAAACAGTATGAGACTTTTAGTCTCTAGTATTGGTCAAGCTCAGAAAATGAAATAATTCACCTCATTAGTGTCTTTGTCCTTGGCTTGTCAGTGCCCACTTCTTTCAAACCTTACTCCTTCAGTTTGTTGCAAATACTTTTTCTCTGTTAAAACTTTTAAGTCTCAAGTGTCGGCACAAGCTGAGAAAACATTATCTGGGATATCTTTTCAGAGTTTAGAAAGCACCTTTCAGAGGACTATAGAACTGCTTTCACAGGCTGAGACGTAGTCCTTGTGACAAGTAAACAGAACTTCATGTGTAGAAGTGGTGCTGCTCTAATACATCTGTTATAGTTTCAGTTTAATGTTTTAAAATCAGATACCTGACTTGTAGAGAGAATGAACTGATTACTGATGAGATAGGCGTCGTCTTTAAATATCCCCGGCTTCTCTATCTTCAGTTCACGTGCAATTTCACGAAGTCCTAGTAGGTGATTGTCTATTGCCATCCCTGTAATAGCCTGAAAAACAAAATGCACATAAGTATGTTAATGTATTTTCTTTGATAAGCAAGGTCAACATTGTAATACTGAATACCAGTGGACGAGGGAGTTACCAGAATAGTATACTTTGTCTGTGCTGTTATGGCACCATGTAACATCTCCATCTTTTCTGTGTCCTGGAGAAGTAAACAACTGTGAATCAATACCAGGCTATTAAATCTCCTTTACTTACAGTAAGCATAGTTTTTCATTGTAAAGGACATCAACACAGACTGAAGTAAAAGATTGAATCACACTATTTAAAGCAAACAAAACTGACAGTTTCAATTCATTATTCAAACTGATTTTTTACTCTGCAGCAGCATTCATTTAACATGGACAGAAAGGCTGTAGCATCCACGATAAAACATCTTACGCTTGTGCTGAGCATCCCATCAGTCATTGCTTTGACAAAGGCCAGGGCTTCGGGTGTGGCGGAGCGGATGTTGTCCACTCTGCCTTCCTGAAAACGTCGTATGGAAGCGCTCTCATAGGTTGACACCGGTCTACCATGACATCTAGAGTAAAGAGAAGGCCTTGTAGGTTGGAGGCCCAGGTTAATGTGACATATGAGAATCTGTCCTGTAACATTTAGCTTGGTCTTACCGGTAGTAGGCTAACTGAAGAGCAACCTGGATATAGGCGTCTGGACTCATTTTCTGCTTCTTAATGAACTCCTTCCCATAATCGTAGAATTTGTGGACATTCATGTCCAGATTTCTCACGAGCCTGAGCAGATAAGAATAAATCCTGCTATGATTTGAAAGCATTAACTCATATGTTTGATTGTAAAGGAGGCACAGTAAACCCAGACCTCTGGAGTTTGTCAGCAGAGGAGGCGAGGAGCTTGTGAATCTCTGGAGTACATTTCCAGCGGAGTCTGCGTGGTGCAGGAAGCTCGCTCACACTTGCAGCTCTGACCAGCTTTGATGGGCTGCCAATCCTGATGTCAAATGGGAATATAATATAATTTCGCTTTTTTTTTCTAAGCATATGTCATCAAATATCACACACACACACACACACACGCACATTTTGCTTTTCCAATATCCAATTGCATTTAATTTCTTACATGTATTTGAGTAGGTACTCTGTGCACTGCACGAGGACGATTCCTTCAAACGGCGAGTGCTCACATACGACTCCACAGCAGCCGTCAGCTCCTACGACAAACTGACACAGTCATGCTATCTTCAGTTGAGTTGACTCAAACTTCAGTGCTACATTATCTAAGATTCAGTTAATTTGCAAGTCCAGTTTAATTAATGTTCCCTCCTTCACATTTCATTCGTACTTTACACCCTTCAGTGTAGAAATTATTTAGAGAGGAAGCCTCCAACTCTCTAGGTAGTGGATGTTAATAATATATTTAATTCAAGCAATCTGAATTCTTTATCAAAACTATTCCACCAAAGTTCATGCTAATGACATTTTTCCAGCTAAGGGCTGGTAATCCAGTGGGAAGATCCACTCTCCATCAGAATTTCTTTAAATGTTGAATCTTAATTTGGCATGGGATTGGCTTATTACGTCCACTGGCACTGTGAGAGATAAAGCTGAATTCTTTCATCAGTTATGTCTGTCATGTTTCTTGGTAATTAAAGAGGTAAATTGATCCTATTGTACATCATCCACCATTAAATCATTTTATCCTCAAGAAATAAACATTAAAGTGGTTTGACTTGATAACTCACTGACCTGCATGGGCTTGTCGTACCAGCGGTTGCCACCATTCTTGGCCACTCCTCCTCCGTGCAGCATCAACATGGCACGTGTGGTGTCACTGAGCTCAGGACCACTGGTGTCATCCAGACATACCAGGCACAGACAACGCTCGATCATGTCCAAAGAGTCCCTGTTAGTAGACTCTAAAGCATAATAGTTTAAAAAAAGAAAAAAGAAGAAGTCAATTTGGTGGGACAAACTGACTTGGACACACGCTGAGATCCACTTGATTCTAGAGGGTTTTTATCGGAGCGTCTAGAATCTCCATTCAAAATGTACCTCTCAT